TATGTGATGTTTGTTTACCGGATTTTCAACCACCGTGAGTTAAAAGTCGTACTTAGTCCAATTGGCGTTATTTAACCACGTAATGGCAACTCCAACTCATATTTACCCTCCTTTGTGTCAATTTTCGCCTTCGCTCACCTCCTCCGCTGCACCACAAATCCCATCACACACAAATGCATTTGCATACCTCTCGGTGGTTGTCGGCATTATCGAAGTGCAGATGCTTTATATTCAAATGGGATATCGCTTCGCCCTTTGAGAGTTTAGAAAGAAGCAAAAACGATCCGCATTTTATCAGTGCTGCAGTTTTCTTGTTCCGATATAAAATTCCAGCCGTTTCCATATTTAGACCCGAAAGCATACATTCTCTAAATTCAAAAAACTTATTTTACAACTTTTTCATTCGCGTATCCGATAAACCCGAACACCATCCTAGATAAAAGCGTATTTCATCCGGCATAACTGTGGCGAGCTTCCTCAGAAATATCGCCGGAGGCGTAATACGCTAAGGTGAAAGTTTGGGGCCCGGATTGTCTTTGATGGCGGAACTTTTGTTTATTTATTTAATAAAGGACCGGCGTGCTTGGCCAAATTCTGTCAAGGGTGATGCGCATAATTATTACAAAGCCGCAACAAACGTGGGTAATGTCTTAGGGTTAAAGGCCCAGCGAACGCAAGAGGAAATAATCCGGGGGGTTGTGTGCCGGTGTGTTCATTTAAATAAATAACTTTCGTGTGTTAGTCGTGAGTGGACGAAATATTATCCGTGCTCCACTTTATGGCACAAATATTCTTTGTTCGCGACTCTACAGAGACATGAGGACAACGTATGCCGTCTGCAGCACATGTGGAAGTGCATTCGAATCCGGGAATTTGAGAAGCACTTGTTCTAAAAAGTTCCGGATTCGAGTCATAAATTTTGCACCGTATAGCTCTTTTACCTAAATGGTAGCTTCTTTAAAAACTCCTCTGGAAAGGTTTTCGTTTACTCGCCCGAGATTTATTACAGATGGACATGATAGGATAAAATCATAATAAATCATCCCGAGGGAGAAATTGGCGTTCCGATAATGACGCTGTTCTTGGAAATAGCACGAAATTGAATTTAGCCAAAAACATCAAGTGCGAGTTGAAAATGATAATTCTAGGGGTGGAATTAGGCAGGCTCACTTTTTAAATTGTCTTCTTTGATCCTGATTTAATGGGGATAAGCAGAACTGGAACCGCTCGTAAACAAAATGAGGAGGCAGATCAAGACAACAGCACGAAGAGCCGTGTTTGTGTTGTATTTACTGTGGTGGAAACAGCCGGATTGTATGAAGCATTTAACAGGATGTTTGTGATGGAGATTGTAAATTCGACCGGAGTTTTTCAGAAAAGGGGTTATTGGTTTACCAGTTTTGTGTACGCGGAGCGTAATCAACGAATAAAGTGAATATTTAGCCGTGTTGTGATGTTAAGGGGTCTGAATGTGATCATATGGAAATATATTCATATATCTAGCATGTTGAAATCAATTGATTTAGAGGCATAATAGGGTGCAAGGGTCGGCTTTTCAAACTCGGGTCGTACAATAATTAACTATTAGATTACGAATTTTGCAAAGTTTAATTGCACGAATTCTAGGATTTTTGTTACAAGGATCAGGTAAACCGTTTTTTCCTCCGACTATCAGTGTTATCCCGACATTAATAACTTTGCAATTCTTACATTCATCTTCGCGCTCGTTGCCTCATTCTACGTACGAAATCCAATCTCTCGTTAAGAGATAAATCACGCGTCGAAATTTCTTGGAGATGAATTCCTGATTTATATTTGTGAAGATGCATGAGCGAGCAAGATTTACAAAATATGTCAGCGCTATTAATCTCGGGACATAGTAAACACGCACTGTCCACAACTAGCTAACCCAATGGTTTGTTTTATCGGTGTAAACGTGTTTTGTTTACATTTGGGTGGACTGGACGGTTGGAACAAGACAAAAATTAAATTCTTGAACTTCCCTCGTAAGGTTGCGTCCTATTTCTGTACTCCTATTGCTCGCGCGACACCACCTCTGGAAAAAACGCAAGATAAATCGATAGCTATTCTGAAGAGTATTGTTTACATGGGGGAAATAGTGAGCAAACTCTGGAAAGTTATACCAGGCAATCACCAATCAAAGATCAAACAGAGCATTGTCAATAATATGACGACTTTTGGAAAAGTGGTATAAAATAAATCATCGGAGGGTGTCGACGTAAATAGAAAGTCTGAAAGGATTTCAGCTCGGCTAACTTTGTTAGGTTTTTTCGCTAAAAAAATTGATTTATTAAATTTGTAAAGAATCTCGGGGTTAGTGCGGAGGTAAACAATCCTTTAATAACTTTTAAGTGCTTAATAGTTGGAACGTACTCAGGTGGTGACGCTTTTCTCCGAAGATAAATGTAGAAAAAAGTTTGCCGCCCAAAGAGAATTTAAAGTGTTTGGTTTCAGTTCGTAAATAACTTTCTCTGGCATTTTCAATTACGTATGTTCACATGGGACTTTATTTTACGGACTTAAACGTTTTTTCTGGGACAGACGATCCATTACAAATGTTGTCAAACCAAGGTGGTGAAATAAATCATTCAATTATTGATTACTGAGTTTATTGTCGACGAATGTTCTATGAATTTTAGGCAACTTTTCCGAAAACCAAAATGTTTTGCTGGACGTCGAAATCTACAAAAAAATTTTAGGGTAATTTTTGAAGGTTGACAAAAAGGGTTAACATTTTCATAACGGCGAAGTAATCAAACGTTTTGTTTTCGGAAAAATTGCTTAAAAATTCATTGAAAATTCTGCTTTGAACAACACGATTAATCCAGAATGTGTTTCCCATAGCAATTTCTTCGTGAAAAATACGGATTTTGCAAATGAGTTCTTCCCCACGGCTTACGACGAGTAAAAAAATCATCACAATTGAGATAGGGCGGGTGGGTGGGGCTTATATTTTGTCCTTTTGTCTTAATATACGTAGTCATCTTTTCACAACAAAAAATTTACCATTTTATATACGTTTTCAGTTGTTGTTGTGAATAGATGACCAGGTACGGAACGAGTAAGGGATTAGTACTTTACACCACGGTGACCGCGTTCGGGTGGTATAAGTATCTACCTGGGAAAGGTACCGACGCCACCTAGAAGTACTGCTAGAGGTGTTATCTGATGATTTTATTTACTACTTTCTAACTTACTATTTAATTATTGCTAACGCTGAAAAATAAAAATTCCCGAAAATGGAAATTCATCGTCTCAAGAATAAAACTAAGGGAAAAAATAGTGGACAACGGTAGTGCTAATTTGTCCATTTTAAAAATTATTATCTTGATGCCTCGAGTTCTGATTGGTTCCAAAATTTTTGATGAACTCGCCACATTGTACTTTTGGGGTGTTGTCATGTTGTCCTTAATGATTTATATTTAAGGAGGGTAAAAAGATTTCTAAAAATTTTATTGAAGTACAATTACAAAGACAAATGATTTCCGAGTAGAAACTGAAGGATGTCATATGGTTATAAGTATAAATTTTCTGCTGTGGAAGGTGCGTAATCAGTCCTCAATTTATGTGTACCTTCGCAGGTGCAAGATGTTTGAAAATGACTACTAATTAGTAATTTTGGTCCTCAATCTGTGTAGAGTTTCGGGGTTTGCGGGGCAAGATTTTGGAAATATTTGACTTGAAAATGAAATTTTTGAAAAATCGCTATAATTACCGTTAGTGAATTGTCAGTCAATTAATTTTTTTATGTGTTTAGAAACAAATGCCAGATAAAGATTAGTAATTACGTCCAAATTAGAAAATTCTCTTGAATTTCTTATGACGAAACGGAGAGATTTATAGCTTGATTTAATTATGTTGTCATAACGTTCCAAAAACTTCAATCGAGGATGAAAGGATATACTTAAGTTCGTGATTTTAGTAAGACGAGTTAAGATTGAATTTTTTAACGCATATACGGCATCATGGGAGTTAATCCTATTTGAATAAGTGACAATACCGCAATTTTCATAATTGATGAACATCTGGTTATTGAAACACCACTTTGAGAATGTATTAATACCATCTTGAAATAAAACAGCATCACTGGCGTTTTTTATAAGCAAAAACAACTTCATATCGTCTGCATAGAGTAAGCATGGAATATTAAGCTCGTTATCAATATAATTAATCTAGATATTAAACAATAGGGGAACCAGGATAGACCCCTGTGGAACTCCTGATGTTACATTAAAGCTCTTGGATTTGAAACAATTTCAAAAGAACAGTAAACAAACATCTTTAAGAGATATCTAATATAAAACCATCGAAGCGTAATGGTCTATTGGCTTATCAGTTTGGTCTTAGCCCCACCTGCGCAACCCTTAGCCACACCCCCCACCCTTCCGAATCCCAATAAATACGGAAGAAACACAATTATTCTTCATAATGTTTTTGACAATCGACAACTACAGAGACTGTCTAGATCGTCCACAAGACACATATCGGTAAGTTGAACCTAGATTTTCTATTTTTATTTGAAAACTAACTCTTTTCTCTCTTTTGCAGATTCAAGAATGGAAAACCCAGAAGCCAGCTATTTGGAAAACATGGAGTGCCCAGTGTGTCTGGACGTTCTTCGCCCTCCAGTCCGTTTGTGCAAGAACCGCCACAGCACTTGCCATGACTGCCATCATCAAATAGTGAGGACCTCCCAGACAGCAAGATGTCCACTTTGCCGGGAAGAATTCGCACCAGACTCCTGCCCTGTCAAGGAGCAGTTGTACCTTGCGATGAAGGTAACCTGCAAATTCGATGGCTGTACAGTGAAAGGGTTTGGCAGAGAAGTCATCCGACATGAAAGGAGGTGTACCTTTCGAGTGCGACGCTGCCCTAATTGCCCTTGGGAAGGACCCCAACCGTTGTTAACCCCACATTATCTGATCAATCATGTACAGCAATAAAACTAATTTGTATATATTGTAAATAAATTTTCATAGTCAATAATCAATAATTGGATGATTTATTACCCCGCCTCTGTATGACAACACTTGTAATCGTCTGCAACAAAAAAAAAACTATAGCTAAAAACGCTTAAGTTGTTTAAACCCTCTTTAGATTGTCAGGTTGACATATTCGTCTATAGTCTTGGCAAAAAGAACATCGGTCAAAGAAAAATTATTTTTCTATTGTTTTCTTTTCTTCCTGGTGAGGTCCTCTATTCATCGTCTTTCCGTTCGACCACCTCACTAATAAATATTAGTTGACAGAAGTTCATACCCTAATGGTAATCCTATTATGATCTTAAAAGTTAGGTATGCCACTTCAATTTGCCTGGACTAGACATTAGACGGTATTAAAGTTGAAGTGCATGATATTGACAATGAAAGAGAACTAATTAAAAAATAGGATGGTACGCTTTTCTATAGAAGATTTACTATAATTAAAGGACCAGTAAGCTAATATGTTTAATGCCTTGTTTTTTTATTTGTTCAAACTGTTCAAATTAGTGTTTAAGTCTTTAAATTCTTGTGTCATTCTCAACCTTGATTCCTCAAAATTGTTGACAGGTGTTCGATAAATAATTTTCTTCTAATAGGGCCACAAAAAAATCTGCTGTGCCTCTCTAGTACAGGTTGCAACCTATTTCTGCACTCCTATTGCTAAAGCGACGCCACCTATGGAAGAATTGCAAGATAAATCGATAGCCATTTTGAAGAGTATTGTTCACTTGGGGGAAATAGTGAGCAAACTCTAGAAAGTTATACCAGGCAATCACCAAATAAAGATCAAAGAGAGCATTGTCAAAAATATGACGACTTTTGGAAAAGTGAGATAACATAAACCATGTAACTACAAAGTCTGAAAGGATTTCAGCTCGGCTAACTTTGTTCGGTTTTTTTGCCAAAAAAATTGATTTATTAAATTTGTAAAGAATCTCGGGGTTAGTGCGGAGGTAAACAATCCTTTAATAACTTTTAAGTGCTTAATAGTTGGAACGTACTCAGGTGGTGACGCTTTTCTCCGAAGATAAATGTAGAAAAAAGTTTGCCGCCCAAAGAGAATTTAAAGTGTTTGGTTTCAGTTCGTAAATAACTTTCTCTGGCATTTTCAATTACGTATGTTCACATGGGACTTTATTGCGGACTTAAACGTTTTTTTCTGGGGCAGACGATCCATTACAAATGTTGTCAAACAAAGGTGGCGAAATAAACCATTCAATTATTGATTACTGAGTTTGTTGTCGAAGCATTTTCGATGAATTTTAGGCAACTTTTCCGAAAACCAAAATGTTTTTACTGGACGTCGAAATCTACAAAAAATTCTTAGGGTAATTTTTGAAGGTTGTTAAAAAGAGTTGAAATTTTCATAACGGCGAAGTAATAAATCATTTTGGCTTTCGGAAAAATTGCTTAAAAATTCATTTAAAATTCTGCTTTGAACAACACGATTAATCCAGAACATGTTTCCCATAGCAATTTCTTCGTGAAAAGTGAGGATTTTGCAAATAAGTTCCTCCCCACGGCTTACGACTAGTAAAAAAATCATCACAATTGAGATAGGGCTGGTGGGTGGGGCTTATATTTTGCCCTTTTTTTCTTAATATACGTAGTCATCTTTTGACAACAAAAAATTTACCATTTTATATACGTTTTCAGTTGTTGTTGTGAATAGATGACCAGGTATATATTTAATTAAATCCGTGGACCTAAATTGAGAAGCAGCTGTGCAGGTGTCGGTAAGCCGATCGTTAAATAATTTCCGGAACGAGTAAGGGATTAGTACTTTACACCCCGGTGACCGCGTTCGGGTGGTATAAGTACCTACCTGGGAAGAGTACCGACGCCACCGAGAAGTACTCCTAAAGTACTATCTGATGATTTTATTTATTACGTTCTAACTTACTATTAAATTATTGCTAACGCTGAAAAATAAAAATTCTCGAAAATTGAAATTCATCTTCTCAAGAATAAAACTAAGGGAAAAAATTAGGGACAACGGTAGTGCTAATTTGTGCATTTTAAAAATTATTATCTTCATGCTTCGAGTTCGGATTGGTTCCAAAATTTTGGATGAACTCGCCACATTGTACTTTTGGGGTGTTGCCTTGTTGTGCCTAATGATTTATATTTAAGGAAGGTGGAAAGATTTCTAAAAATTTTATTTAAGTACAATTACAAACACAAATGATTTCCGAGTAGAAACTGAAGGATGTCGGGTGGTCATAAGTATAAATTTTCTGCCGTGGGAGGTGCACAATCCAGTGGCGGCTCGTGAGATTTTTGGTAGGTTGGGCAAGGTGGTGAAGCGGTAGGTACCTAATCAAAAGTATTTTATGTATCACGAGGTTCTTGCAGCGTAGTTATTCTGTACGTTTTTTGGTTTGAGCTCCGTTTTAGCCGGCATAATTCCAAAATTTGAAAAATACACCGTTCGGCAAGAACCACGTGAAGGTTCGGAGCGATATCTTGCCGGGGAAGGAAAAAATGAAAGGTCATTGTTAGTGTGGGGCATTGAAGGTTAGTAAATATGTAAAAAAAAACTAAAAATAAACTCTACATAAAAAATAATAAAACCAATATAACAAATAATAAAAATAAAAATAAAAAATTCTCAAAACATAAAAAAATTCTTAAATAGAAAATCGTAAAAAACAAAAAATAAACTCTAAATAATAATTAACAGTATAACAAAATAAAAAATATTCTAGAGTAATGCTTTTTGAAACTCTTGAGATAAAAAAAATTATGAACTGGTATTTGGCACATTTTTATAAAATAAGTCAATGCGTCTATTTTTTTGTAAGGCAAAATGGTCTATTACTCTGTCATAAAATTGTGTTGTTTGGACTTGTTTTTTGATCAAACCCCTTTCGATGGCAATCTTTGATAAACTAGATAATCTCGTCTGAGTCATTGAATTTCTAGTGAAAGTTTTTATTCTTTTTAAAGTTGAAAAGCTTCTTTCCACTGAAGCTGAAGTCGAGGGTAAACATAAAGCGATACAAAGCAATTTATATATTTCTGAAATCTCATTTTGCAGATCATTAATAAAAATGAAATTTAAAATGTCGGCATAATTTGAAGAATCTCCAAGTAGGTCTATATCTGAATACCACACGCGCAACTGACTTTGCAACTTAGCTTGGGTGAACATATTTTTATAATTCTTAAGTAAGGAATTAACTAAATTTTGGGGAAACGTTTGTCTGTATGACATAAATTTGTCTTTATTCAATAAATCTAGAAAATCTAAAGTTGCCATATCTCTAAATCTAACTTCTATTTGAGTAGTTATTATGTCAAGAATTTCATTAAATACGCGTTTGAAATACGTTTTAGGATCATCAATTCCATCATAGTTCGACTTACGTTTCTTAGATAAATTTGGTGGCTCAGTAATATTGGAAACTGTATTATATATTTTATTAAAATAATTGTCATTTGATCTGAAATTATTTAATGTTTGCTGCAAATTTTCTATTCTTTTCTTACAGTATGATATGTCTGTCGATTTGGACTGAATTATATCGAAAATGAATTCTGTTTGTTCAAATATGAGACTGAAAATATGAAGCAATATTAAAAAATTAAAATTTTTCAGGATTTTTTTAAAGCCTATCGCCTCTCTAATCGCATCGCCGTCTCTTACAAAATCTTCGGAATCAATAATTTTGTCAAAAACAAGTACAAGTTTATCCCTTTCTTCAATTATAACATTTATCAAACGTGATTTAAAGTTCCATCTGGTGTCGGATCCGCTAGGTATTCTCCTAGTACACATTTGATCTAAAATATTAGTCCTTTTTGTTGATTTAGAAAAATATGTGGGAAATCCTTTTGTTTGCAAAAAAAATTCGACATTCTTTAATAGATGTTGATGCGTCTTGTAATATGAGATTTAACCTATGAGCGTAACAGTGCGTGAACAGAGCTTGAGGAGCTATCTGCTTAACCCTTGATTGTAACCCATTCAATTCACCAGACATTACGGAAGCACCATCATAAGTTTGACCGATTAGCTTATTAGTGATATCGTATTTACTAAAATTTTCTATTAACAAATTAAATAAATCGGCAGCGGTTCTACCTTCACTAGCGTCAAAAAATCCCATAAAGCGTTCAACAGCTTTACCCTCTTTTACATAACGAAAAATTACAGATACTTGAGATCGGCAATTAATATCAGTGGTCTCATCAACTTGCCACGAAAGAAAGGGGCTCATTTTAATTTCGTTCTCTATAATCTCACTAATTACTTTATTAATACTTTCAATTAACTCGTTTTGAATAGTTTTTGAAAGCCCAGTGAATACCGAAGATTCATCCAAAAATACCTTAAATTTATTATCATATTTGGAAAGCAGTGACGCTAATTCCCTAAAATTTCCCTGATTTAAAGAATCTCTTGATTCATTGTGACCGCGGAATGCTTGTTCTTGGGTTGCTAAATAAATGATCATATCAATCAGCCTCGTTATTATTTCTCTATTTTCTTTAACCAGTTCATTATGCTTTAAAATACTTTGAACATGGGCTGAATCTATTGAATCTTGAATATTATTTTTTCCAAACAATTTAAATTTTAAAGACGCATGAGTATGTTGTTCTGAGTTTCCATGTTTTTGCAACGATTCGGATAAGTGTTTTAAGTCGTCGTAGCCACTAGTCCAAGGACTTTGCTTAGTCTCAGAAAATAAAAGACAACTCCAGCAGTAAAGCTTGTTTCGCTTTTCGCTTCCCGTGAGCCAGTTATACTTATCGTACCAATTATTATTAAACCCTCTGTTACCTCTGCTGCCTTTATTTTTCATTATTAAATTTTTCATTTGTGGACGTGGTTTCAATTTTACTATAAAAAGTTTATCATCATAATTTAGTCTGCTAAATTTAGTCTCCAATAAGAAATTTACGACATCATCATTATTGTTGACCACCTCCCGGATGTTTGTATTTAAACTAATACCTGTACCTGATGTTGAAGGCGCTGACGATGACAGAATACTGCTGTTACAGCTTGTCAAATTGTTACCATTTGCCATGATTTTTATGTTACGATTATTGCACTACAAAACAATTAAATTAAATCACCACAACCCCTCAGAACACTAAACAATTTTGTAATATTTAACGGTTCACGATGTGACACGAGGCAACTACGAAACTATCCGATTGGGCAAGCCCAGCCTGTATCGTCAACCCGTCAGCCTTACCAGCGGTGGCTGTGTGCATTACCGAATACAATGTTACGACATTCGAAATAGCAGATAAAATACGAATCTGACACAAATCGGTTTTTTTTTCAGCCAAGATGTGGAAAAATTTTTCACTATAACGATTAGCCGTAATGAAAATTGTTTTAGTTCGTGTTTTGTCCGTATCATTTACACTATAAAACAAATTGATTTTATTAAAAAAATGATATTACTGATTACTTGAAAGAAATTATGTACCTATAATTTTTAATTCCATTTTTAAATTCTCATTATAGCAACTACATTTTTCAGCGAAGCCCTAATCCAGTGCGTCGTATGTACTCGTATTATTTATATGCTTTATATGTGAGCTCTGGGCAAGCCCGAGCTTGGTCACTCGTGGTGTATCCCTACTCCACGCCAGCCAACGCAACAGAGCCTGCGACTATGTGGTGTTCTCTGTTTTTCAGACTAATCTCGGTATGGTAGATGCGTAAAGATTAATTCAGGCGTCTCGGGCTAGCCCGAAGATCACTTTTATCCGAAAATAAGGAGTATAACGAGCATGTTGAACGTAGGAATTTTAAGGAACATAATTGCAAGGATTTGTTATTGGATTTATTTTGTATAAAATTTGAGAAATTCATATTTTATTAATTTTAAAACCTCGAAAAAATTAGGTTGGGCTCTGCCCACCTTGCCCACTCCCACCAGCCGCCACTGGCACAATCAGTCCTCTATTTATGTGTACCTTCGCAGGTGCAAGATGTTTGAGAATGATTATTAATTAGTAATTTTGGTCCTCAATCTATGTAGAGTTTCGGGGTTTGCGGGGCGAGATTTTGAAAAAATTTGACTTGAAAATTAAATTTTTGAAAAATCGCTACAATTACCGTTGGTGAATCATCACTCAATTAATTCTTTAGTGTGTTTAGAAACACTTTTTTTGTAAAATAGCGTATTTGCATTGCACTAAAAATTCAAATTTGGCATAACTTTTGCTGTAAGTCAGAATATATAATTCCATACTGTTTTTTTAACAATAAATGATTTTTATTTTTGCATTATTTTTTAAAGTGTCATTAAAACCCAGTTCTTTTTTATTTTTTATTTTTTTTATTAAGTTCCACAGATATTCGCCTAATGCAGAACTGTAAGTGCTTTTACTTGGTTAAAATTGCCGACTTTATGCTGCCCAAGGACCAATTAAAAATATCAAATAGATGTTGGACTTCGTGATAATTATGAAATATTTGCAACATAGATGAATATTTAAATATGTTAATTCTTGAAGTTGGGTTGTAAAATATCTGCAGATACCGACCACAATGCGATGGAACCTGAAAAGGAATTGTTTACAGTAGGTAAGGACATTCAGTCATACCATTTATAAGTTTGAATAGAAAAATTAAGGAGTATATTTTTCTATGTTCCCGCAAACTCTAAAGAAAAAACTTGTTTAAAAGAAAATCATGAGGATAGCCTTGTTGTGGATAGATGTTTTCCTTGCGATAAAATAAATATTTTAAAAATTGACGTTGCAGTTTTTCAATATCATCTATGTGAACTTGATAGAAAGGTGCCCAAACAAAGCCAGCATATTCAAGTCGAGATCGAAGAAATGCCACATAAAGATTAGTAATTACGTACAAATTAGAAAGTTCTTTTGAATTTCTTATGATGAAACTCAGAGATTTATAGCTTGATTTAATTATGTTGTCATAATTTTCTACAAACGTCAATCGAGAATCAAAGCATATAGGTACTACTTCGAGATGCTAGTAAGACGAGTTAAGATTGAATTATTTAACGCATATACGGCATCATAGGAGTTAATCCTATTTGAATAAGTGACAATGCCGCACTTTTCATAATTGATGACCATCAGGTTATTGAAACACCACTTTGAGAATGTATTAATATCATCTTGAAATAAAACAACATCACTGGCGTTTTTTATAAGAAAAAACAACTTCATGTCGTCTGCATAGAGTAAGCATGGAATATTAAGCTCGATAACAATATCATTAATCTAGATATTAAACAATAGGGGAGCCAGGATAGACCCCTGTAGAACTCCTGATGTTACAATTAAAGCTCTTGGATTTGAAACAATTTCAAAAGAACAGTAAACAAACATCTTTAAGAGATATCTAATATAAAACCATCGAAGCGTAATGGTCCATTGGCTTATCAGCTTGGTCTTAGCCCCACCTGCACAACCCTTAGCCACACCCCCCACCCTTCCGAATCCCTATAAATACGGAAGAAACACAATTATTCTTCATAATGTTTTCGACAATCGACAACTGCAGAGACTGTCTAGATCGTCCACAAGACACATATCGGTAAGTTGAACCTAGATTTTCTATTTTTATTTGAAAACTAACTCTTTTCTGTTTTTCACAGATTCAAGAATGGAAAACTCAGAAGCCAGCTATTTGGAAAACATGGAGTGTCCAGTGTGTCTGGACGTTCTTCGCCCTCCAGTCCGTTTGTGCAAGAACCGCCACAGCACTTGCCACGACTGCCACCACCAAATAGTGAGGACCTCCCAGACAGCAAGATGTCCACTTTGCCGGGAAGAATTCGCACCAGACTCCTGCCCTGTCAAGGAGCAATTGTACCTTGCCATGAAGGTAACCTGCAAATTCGATGGCTGTACAGTGAAAGGGTTTGGCAGAGAAGTCATCCGACATGAAAGGAGGTGTACCTTTCGAGTGCGACGCTGCCCTAATTGCCCTTGGGAAGGACCCCAAACGTTGTTAACCCCGCATTATCTGATCAATCATGTACAGCAATAAAACTAATTTGTATATATTGTAAATAAATTTTCATAAGTCAATAATCAATAATTGGATGATTTATTACCCCGCCTCTGTATGACAACACTTGTAATCGTCTGCAACAAAAAAATTTTAGCTAAAAACGTTTAAGTTGTTTAAACCCCCTCTAGATTGTCAGGTTGGTATATTCGTCTATAGTATTGGCAAATAGAGCATCTGTCAAAGAAAAATTATCCTTCTATTGTTTTCTTTTCTACCTGGTGAGGTCCTCTATTCATCGTCTTTCCGTTTGACCACGTCACTAATAAATATTAGTTGACAGAAGTTCAAACCCTAATGGTAATCCTATTATGATCTTAAAAGTTAGGTATGCCACTTCTATTTGCCTGGTCTATACATGAGACGGTATTAAGGGTGAAGTGCAATGTTGACAATGAAAGAGAACTAATTAAAAAATAGGATGGTACACTTTTCTATAGAAGATTTACTATAATTAAAGGAGCAGTAAGCTAATATGTTTAATGCCTTGTTTTTTTTATTTGATTAAACATTTCAAATTAGTGTTTAAGTCTTTAAATTCTTCTTTCATTCTCAACCTTGATTCCTCAAAATTGTTGACAGGTGTTCGATAAATAGTTTTCTTCAAATAGGGCCACAAAAAAATCTGCTGTGCCTCCCTAGTACAGGTTGCAACCTATTTCTGCACTCCTATTGCTAAAGCGACGCCACCTCTGGAAGAATCGCAAGATAAATCGATAGCCATTTTGAAGAGTATTGTTCACTTGGGGGAAATAGTGAGCAAACTCTGGATAGTTGTACCAGGCAATCACCAATCAAAGATCAAACAGAGCATTGTCAATAATATGACGACTTTTGGAAAAGTGGTATAAAATAAATCATCGGAGGGTGTTGATGTAAATAGAAAGTCTGAAAGGATTTCAGCTCGGCTAACTTTGTGCGGTTTTTTCGCTAAAAAAATTGATTTATTAAATTTTTAAAGTATCTCGGGGTTAGTGCAGAGGTAAACAATCCTTTAATAACTTTTAAGTGCTTAATAGTTGGAACGTACTCAGGTGGTGACGCTTTTCTCCGAAGATAAATGTAGAAAAAAGTTTGCCGCCCAAAGAGAATTTAAAGTGTTTGGTTTCAGTTCGTAAATAACTTTCTCTGGCATTTTCAATTACGTATGTTCACATGGGACTTTATTTTACGGACTTAAATGTTTTTTCTGGGGTAGACGATCCATTACAAATGTTGTCAAACGAAGGTGGCGAAATAAATCATTCAATTGTTGATTACTGAGTTTATTATCGAAGAATTTTCTATGATTTTAATCAAATTTACGGAAAACCAAAATGTTTTTGCTGGACGTCGAAATCTATAAAAATTCTTAGTATAATTTTTGAAAGTTGTTATAAAAGGGTTGAAATTTTCATAACAGCGAATGAATAAAACATTTTTGTTTTCGGAAAAATTGCTTAAAAATTCAATGAAAATTCTGCTTTGAATAACACGATTAATCCAGAACGTGTTTCCCATAGCAATTTCTTCGTGAAAAATAAGAATTTTGCAAATAAGTTCCTCCCCCCGGGCTTACGACGAGTAAAAAAATCATCACAATTGAGATAGGGCGGGTGGGTGGGGCTTATATTTTGTTCTTTTTTCTTAATATACGTAGTCATCTTTTCACAACAAAATATTTACCATTTTATTCAGTTGTTGTTGTGAATAGATGACCAGGTATATAATTAAATCCGTGGACCTAAATTGAGAAGCAGCTGTGCAGGTGTCGTTAAGCCGATCGACAAATAATTTGCGGAACGAGTAAGGGATTAGTACCTAACACCGCGGTGGTCGCTTTCGGGTGGATTAAATATCTACCTGGGAAGAGTACCGACGCCACCTAGAAGTACTCCTAAAGGTACTGTCTGATGATTTTATTTATTACTTTCTAACTTACTAATAATAATACTAAGGGAAAAAATAGTGGACAACGCTAATTTGGGCATTTTAAAAATTATTATCTTCATGCCTCGAGTTCTGATTGGTTCCAAAATTTTCGATGAACTCGCCACATTGTACTTTTGGGGAGTTGTCTTGTTGGCCTTAATGAGTTATATTTAAGGAGGGTAAAAAGGTTTCAAAAATTTTATTGAAGTACAATTACAAAGACAAATGATTTCCGAGTAGAAACTGAAGGATGGTCAGGTGGTCATAAGTATAAATTTTCTGCCGTGGAAGGTGCGCAATCAGTCCTCAATTTATTTGTACCTTCCCAGGTGCAAGATGTTTGAAAATGCCTACTAATTAGTAATTGTGGTCCTCAATCTATGTAGAGTTTCGGGGTTTGCGGGGCAAGATTTTGGAAATATTTGACTTGAATATGAAATTTTTGAAAAATCGCTATAATTACTGTTAGTGAATTGTCACTCAATTAATTTTTTTATGTGTTTAGAAACAAATGCCAGATAAAGATTAGTAATTACGTCCAAATTAGAAAATTCTCTTGAATTTCTTATGACGAAACGGAGAAATTTATAGCTTGATTTAATTATGTTGTCATAACGTTCTACAAACTTCAATCGAGGATCAAAGCATATACTTAATTTCGTGATTTTAGTAAGACGAGTTAAGATTGAATTATTTAACGCATATACGGCATCATGGGAGTTAATCCTATTTGAATAAGTGACAATACCGCACTTTTCATAATTGATGACCATCTGGTTATTGAAACACCACTTTGAGAATGTATTAATATCATCTTGAAATAAAACAATATCACTGGCGTTTTTTATAAGCAAAATCAACTTCACATCGTCTGCATAGAGTAAGCATGGAATATTAAGCTCGTTATCAATATAATTAATCTAGATTTTAAACAATAGGGGAACCAGGATAGACCCCTGTGGAACTCCTGATGTTACATTAAAGCTCTTGGATTTGAAACAATTTCAAAAGAACAGTTAAAAAACATCTTTAAGAGATACCTAATATAAAACCATCGAAGCGTAATGGTCCATTGGGTTATCAGCTTGGTCTTAGCCCCACCTGCGCAACCCTTAGTCACACCCCCCACCCTTCCGAATCCCTATAAATACGGAAGAAACACAATTATTCTTCATAATGTTTTCGACAATCGACAACTACAGAGACTGTCTAGATCGTCCACAAGACACATATCGGTAAGTTGAACCTAGATTTTCTATTTTTATTTGAAAACTAACTCTTTTCTGTTTTTCACAGATTGAAGAATGGAAAACTCAGAAGCCAGCTATTTGGAAAACATGGAGTGTCCAGTGTGTCTGGACGTTCTTCGCCCTCCTGTCCGTTTGTGCAAGAACAAACATAGCACTTGCCACGACTGCCACCACCAAATAGTGAGGACCTCCCAGACAGCAAGATGTCCACTTTGCCGGGAAGAATTCGCACCAGACTCCTGCCCTGTCAAGGAGCAGTTATACCTTGCGATGAAGGTAACCTGCAAATTCGATGGCTGTACAGTGAAAGGGTTTGGCAGAGAAGTCATCCGACATGAAAGGAGGTGTACCTTTCGAGTGCGACGCTGCCCTAATTGCCCTTGGGAAGGACCCCAAACGTTGTTAACCCCGCATTATCTGATCAATCATGTACAGCAATTAAATTAATTTGTATATATTGTAAATAAATTTTCATATGTCAATAATCAATAATTGGATGATTTATTACCCCGCCTCTGTATGACAACACTTGTAATCGTCTGCAACAAAAAAACTATAGCTAAAAACGTTTAAGTTGTTTAAACCCCCTTTAGATTATCAGGTTGGTATATTCGTCTATAGTCTTGGCAAATAGAACATATGTCAAAGGAAACTTATCCTTCTATGGTTTTCTTTTCTACCTGGTGAGGTCCTCTATTCATCGTCTTTCCGTTTGACCACCTCACTAATAAATATTAGTTGACAGAAGTTCAAACCCTAATGGTAATCCTATTATGATCTTAAAAGTTAGGTATGCCACTTCTATTTGCCTGGACTATACATTAGACGGTATTAGGGGTGAAGTGCATTATGTTGACAATAAAAGAGAACTAATTCAAAAATAGGATGGTACGCTTTTCTATAGAAGATTTGCTAAAATTAAAGGAGCAGTAAGCTAATGTGTTTAATGCCTTGTTTTTTTATTTGGTTAAACATTTCAAATTAGTGTTTAGGTTTTTAAATTCTTCTGTCATTCTCAACCTCGATTTCTCAAAATTGTTGACAGGGGTTCGATTAATAGTTTTCTTCAAATAGGGCCACAAAAAAATCTGGTGTGACTTTCTAGTACAGGTTGCAACCTATTTCTGCACTCCTATTGCTCGCGTGACACCACATCTGGAAGAAACGCAAGATAAATCGAGAGCTATCCTGAAGAATATTGTTCACTTGAAGGAAAAAGTGAGCAAACTCTGGAAAGTTATACCAGGCAATCACCAATTAAAGATCAAACAGAGCATTGTCAATAATATGACGACTTTTGGAAAAGTGGTATAAAATAAATCATCGGAGGGTGTCGACGTAAATAGAAAGTCTGAAAGGATTTCAGCTCGGCTAACTTTGTTCGGTTTTTCGCTAAAAAAATTGATTTATTAAATTTGTAAAGATTCTCGGGGTTAGTGCGGAGGTAAACAATCCTTTAATAACTTTTAAGTGCTTAATAGTTGGAACGTACTCAGGTGGTGACGCTTTTCTGCGAAGATAAATGTAGAAAAAAGTTTGCGGCCCAAAGAGAATTTAAAGTGTTTGGTTTCAGTTCGTAAATAACTTTCTCTGGCATTTTCAATTACGTATGTTCACATGGGACTTTATTTTACGGATTTAAACGTTTTTTCTGGGGCAGACGATCCATTACAAATGTTGTCAAACAAAGATGGCGAAATAAATCATTCAATTATTGATTACTGAGTTTATTATTGAAGAATTTTTTATGAATTTTAAGCAACTTTTCCGAAAGCCAAAATGTTTTTGCTGGATGTCGAAATCTACAAAAAATTCTTAGGGTAATTTTTGAAGGTTGTCAAAAAGGGTTGAAATTTTCATAACGGCGAAGTAATAAAACATTTTGGAAAAATTGCTTAAAAATTCATTGAAATTCTGCTTTGAACAACACTATTAATCCAGAACGTGTTTTCCATAGGAATTTCTTCGTGAAAAATAAGGATTTTGCAAATAAGTTCCTCCGCACGGCTTACCACGAGTAAAAAAATCATCACAATTGAGATAGGGCGGGTGGGTGGGGCTTATATTTTGTCCTTTTGTCTTAATATACGTAGTCATCTTTTCACAACGAAAAATTTACCATTTTATATACGTTTTCAGTTGTTGTTGTGAATAGATGAACAGGTATATAATTAAATCCGTGGACCTAAATTGAGAAGCAGCTGTGCAGGTGTCGTTAAGCCGATCCATAAATAATTTGCGGAACGAGTAAGGGATTAGTACTTTATACCCCGGTGACCGCGTTCGGGTGGTATAAGTACCTACCTGGGAAGAGTACCGACGCAACCGAGAAGTACTCCTAATGTACTATCTGATGCTTTTATTTATTACGTTCTAACTTACAATTAAATTATTGCTAACGATGAAAAATAAAAATTCTCGAAAATTGAAATTCATCTTCTCAAGAATAAAACTAAGGGAAAAAATTAGGGACAACGGTAGTGCTAATTTGTGCATTTTAAAAATTATTATCTTCATGCTTCGAGTTCGGATTGGTTCCAAAATTTTGGATGAACTCGCCACATTGTACTTTTGGGGTGTTGCCTTGTTGTGCCTAATGATTTATATTTAAGGAAGGTGGAAAGATTTCTAAAAATTTTATTTAAGTACAATTACAAACACAAATGATTTCCGAGTAGAAACTAAAGGATGTCGGGTGGTCATAAGTATAAATTTTCTGCCGTGGAAGGTCCGCAATCAGTCCTCAATTTATGTGTACCTTCGCGGGTGCAAGATGTTTGAAAATGACTACTAATTAGTAATTTTGGTCCTCAATCTATGTAGAGTTTCGGGGTTTGCGGGGCAAGATTGTGGAAATATTTGACTTGAAAATGAAATTTTTGAAAAATCGCTATAATTGCCGTTAGTGAATTGTCACTCAATTAATTTTTTTATGTGTTTAGAAACAAATGCCAGATAAAGATTAGTAATTACGTCCAAATTAGAAAATTCTCTTGAATTTCTTATGACGAAACGGAGAGATTTATAGCTTGATTTAATTATGTTGTCATAATGTTCTACAAACTTCAATCGAGGATCAAAGCATATACTTAAGTTCGTGATTTTAGTAAGACGGGTTAAGATTGAATTATTTAACGCATATACGGCATGGGAGTTAATCCTATTTGAATAAGTGACAATATCGCACTTTTCATAATTGATGACCATCTGGTTATTGAAACACCACTTTGAGAATGTATTAATATCATCTTGAAATAAAACAATATCACTGGCGTTTTTTATAAGCAAAATCAACTTCATATCGTCTGCATAGAGTAAGCATGGAATATTAAGCTCGTTATCAATATAATTAATCTAGATATTAAACAATAGGGGAACCAGGATAGACCCCTGTGGAACTCCTGATGTTACATTAAAGCTCTTGGATTTGAAACAATTTCAAAAGAACAGTAAACAAACATCTTTAAGAGATATCTAATATAAAACCATCGAAGCGTAATGGTCCATTGGCTTATCAGTTTAGTCTTAGCCCCACCTGCGCACCCCTTAGCCACACCCCCCACCCTTCCGAATCCCCATAAATACGGAAGAAACACAATTATTCTTCATAATGTTTTCGACAATCGACAACAACAGAGACTGTCTAGATCGTCCACAAGACACATATCGGTAAGTTGAACCTAGATTTTCTATTTTTATTTGAAAACTAACTCTTTTCTCTCTTTTGCAGATTCAAGAATGGAAAACTCAGAAGCCAACTATCTGGAAAACATGGAGTGCCCAGTGTGTCTGGACGTTCTTCGCCCTCCAGTCCGTTTGTGCAAGAACCGCCACAGCACTTGCCACGACTGCCACCACCAAATAGTGAGGACCTCCCAGACAGCAAGATGTCCACTTTGCCGGGAAGAATTCGCACCAGACTCCTGCCCTGTCAAGGAGCAGTTGTACCTTGCGATGAAGGTAACCTGCAAATTCGATGGCTGTACAGTGAAAGGGTTTGGCAGAGAAGTCATCCGACATGAAAGGAGGTGTACCTTTCGAGTGCGACGTTGCCCTAATTGCCCTTGGGAAGGACCCCAACCGTTGTTAACCCCGCATTATCTGATCAATCATGTACAGCAATAAAACTAATTTGTATATATTGTAAATAAATTTTCATAAGTCAATAATCAATAATTGGATGATTTATTACCCCGCCTCTGTATGACAACACTTGTAATCGTCTGCAACAAAAAAACTCTAGCTAAAAACGTTTAAGTTGCTTAAACCCCCTTTAGATTGTCAGGTTGGTCTATTCGTCTATAGTCTTGGCAAATAGAACATCTGTCAAAGGAAACTTATCCTTCTATGGTTTTCTTTTCTACCTGGTGAGCTCCTCTATTCATCGTCTTTCCGTTTGACCACCCCACTAATAAATATTAGTTAACAGAAGTTCAAACCCTAATGGTAATCCTATTATGATCTTAAAAGTTAGGTATGCCACTTCTATTTGCCCGGTCGATACATTAGACGGTATTAAGGGTGAAGTGCATTATGTTGACAATGAAATAGAACTAATTAAAAAATAGGATGGTACACTTTTCTATAGAAGATTTACTAAAATTAAAGGAGCAGTAGGCTAGTATGTTTAATGCCTTGTTTTTTTATTTGATTAAACATTTCAAATTAGTGTTTAAGTCTTTAAATTCTTCTGTCATTCTCAACCTTGATTCCTCAAAATTGTTGACAGCTGTTCGTTAAATAGTTTTCTTCAAATAGGGCCACAAAAAAATCTGCTGTGTCTCCCTAGTACAGGTTGCAACATATTTCTGCACTCCTATTGCTAAAGCGACACGGAAAGTTATACCAGGCAATCACCAATCGAAGATCAAACAGAGCATTGTCAATAATATGACGACTTTTGGAAAAGTGGTATAAAATAAATCATCGGAGGGTGTCGATGTAAATAGAAAGTCTGAAAGGATTTCAGCTCGGCCAACTTTGTTCGGTTTTTTCGCTAAAAAAATTGATTTATTAAATTTGTAAAGAATCTCGGGGTTAGTGCGGAGGTAAACAATCCTTTAATAACTTTTAGTGCTTAATAGTTGGAACGTACTCAGGTGGTGACGCTTTTCTCCGAAGATAAATGTAGAAAAAAGTTTGCCGCCCAAAGAGAATTTAAAGTGTTTGGTTTCAGTTCGTAAATAACTTTCTCTGGCATTTTCAATTACGTATGTTCACATGGGACTTTATTTTACGGACTTAAACGTTTTTTCTGGGGCAGACGATCCATTACAAATGTTGTCAAACAAAGGTGGCGAAATAAATCATTCAATTATTGATTACTGAGTCTATTGTCGAAGAATTTTCTATGAATTTTAGGCAACTTTTCGGAAAATCAAAATGTTTTTACTGGACCTCGAAATCTACAAAAAATTCTTAGGGTAATTTTTGAAGGTTGTCAAAAAGGGTTGAAATTTTCATAACGGCGAAGTAATAAAACATTTTGGAAAAATTGCTTAAATATTCATTGAAATTCTGCTTTGAACAACACCATTAATCCAGAACGTGTTTTCCATAGGAATTTCTTCGTGAAAAATAAGGATTTTGCAAATAAGTTCTTCCCCACGGCTTACCACGAGTAAAAAAATCATCACAATTGAGATAGGGCGGGTGGGCGGTGCTTATATTTTGTCCTTTTGTCTTAATAGACGTAGTCATCTTTTCACAACAAAAAAATTACCATTTTATATACGTTTTCAGTTGTTGTTGTGAATAGATGACCAGGTATATAATTAAATCCGTGGACCTAAATTGAGAAGCAGCTGTGCAGGTGTCGGTAAGCCGATCGTTAAATAATTTCCGGAACGAGTAAGGGATTAGTACTTTACACCCCGGTGACCGCGTTCGGGTGGTATAAGTACCTACCTGGGAAGAGTACCGACGCCACCGAGAAGTACTCCTAAAGTACCATCTGATGATTTTATTTATTACGTTCTAACTTACTATTAAATTATTGCTAACGCTGAAAAATAAAAATTCTCGAAAATTGAATTTCATCTTCTCAAAAATAAAACTAAGGGAAAAAATTAGGGACAACGGTAGTGCTAATTTGTGCATTTTAAAAATTATTATCTTCATGCTTCGAGTTCGGATTGGTTCCAAAATTTTGGATGGACTCACCACATTGTACTTTTGGTGGTGTTGTCTTGTTGTGTCTAATGATTTATGTTTATGGAGGGTGGAAAGATTTCTAAAAATTTTATTTAAGTACAATTACAAAAACAAATGAATTCCGAGTAGAAACTGAAGGATGTCGGGTGGTCATAAGTATAAATTTTCTGCCGTGGGAGGTGCACAATCAGTCCTCTATTTATGTGTACCTTCGCAGGTGCAAGATGTTTGAGAATGATTATTTATTAGTAATTTTTGTCCTCAATCTATGTAGAGTTTCGGGGTTTGCGGGGCGAGATTTTGGAAAAATTTGACTTGAAAATGAAATTTTTGAAAAATCGCTATAATTACCGTTAGTGAATTGTCACTCAATTAATTTTTTTATGTGTTTAGAAACAAATGCCACATAAAGATTAGTAATTACGTCCAAATTAGAAAATTCTCTTGAATTTCTTATGACGAAACGGAGAGATTTATAGCTTGATTTAATTATGTTGTCATAATGTTCTACAAACTTCAATCGAGGATCAAAGCATATACTTAAGTTCGTGATTTTAGTAAGACGAGTTAAAATTGAATTATTTAACGCATATACGGCACCATAGGAGTTAATCCTATTTGAATAAGTGACAATACCGCACTTTTCATAATTGATGACTATCTGGTTATTGAAACACCACTTTGAGAATGTATTAATATCATCTTGAAATAAAACAAAATCACTGGTGTTTTTTATAAGCAAAAACAACTTCATATCGTCTACATAGAGTAAGCATGGTATATTAAACTCGTTTTCAATATAATTAATCTAGATATTAAACAATAGGGGAGCCAGTATAGACCCCTGTGGAACTCCTGATGTTAAATTAATGCTCTTGGATTTGAAACAATTTCAAAAGAACAATAAACAAACATCTTTAAGAAAAATCTAATATAAAACCATCGAAGCGTAATGGTCTATTGGCTTATCAGCTTGTTCTTAGCCCCACCTGCACAACCCTTAGCCACACCCCCCACCCTTCCGAATCCCTATAAATACGGAAGAAACATAATTATTCTTCATAATGTTTTCGACAATCGACAACTAGAGAGACTGTCTAGATCGTCCACAAGACACATATCGGTAAGTTGAACCTAGATTTTCTATTTTTATTTGAAAACTAACTCTTTTCTCTCTTTTGCAGATTCAAGAATGGAAAACACAGAAGCCAGCTATTTGGAAAACATGGAGTGCCCAGTGTGTCTGGACGTTCTTCGCCCTCCAGTCCGTTTGTGCAAGAACCGCCACAGCACTTGCCACGACTGCCACCACCAAATAGTGAGGACCTCCCAGACAGCAAGATGTCCACTTTGCCGGGAAGAATTCGCACCAGACTCCTGCCCTGTCAAGGAGCAATTGTACCTTGCCATGAAGGTAACCTGCAAATTCGATGGCTGTACAGTGAAAGGGTTTGGCAGAGAAGTCATCCGACATGAAAGGAGGTGTACCTTTCGAGTGCGACGCTGCCCTAATTGCCCTTGGGAAGGACCCCAAACGTTGTTAACCCCGCATTATCTGATCAATCATGTACAGCAATAAAATTTATTTGTATATATTGTAAATAAATTTTCATATGTCAATAATCAATAATTGGATGATTTATTACCCCGCCTCTGTATGACAACACTTGTAATCGTCTGCAACAAAAAAACTATAGCTAAAAACGTTTAAGTTGTTTAAACCCCCTTTAGATTATCAGGTTGGTATATTCGTCTATAGTCTTGGCAAATAGAACATATGTCAAAGGAAACTTATCCTTCTATGGTTTTCTTTTCTACCTGGTGAGGTCGTCTATTCATCGTCTTTCCGTTTGACCACGTCACTAATAAATATTAGTTGACAGAAGTTCAAACCCTAATGGTAATCCTATTATCATCTTAAAAGTTAGGTATGCCACTTCTATTTGCCTGGTCTATACATGAGACGGTATTAAGGGTGAAGTGCATTATGTTGACAATGAAAGAGAACTAATTAAAAAATAGGATGGTACACTTTTCTATAGCAGATTTACTAAAATTAAAGGAGCAGTAAGCTAATATGTTTAATGCCTTGTTTTTTTTATTCGATTAAACATTTCAAATTAGTGTTTAAGTCTTTAAATTCTTCTTTCATTCTCAACCTTGATTCCTCAAAATTGTTGACAGGTGTTCGATAAATAGTTTTCTTCAAATAGGGCCACAAAAAAATCTGCTGTGCCTCCCTAGTACAGGTTGCAACCTATTTCTGCATTCCTATTGCTAAAGAATCGCAAGATAAATCGATAGCCATTTTGAAGAGTATTGTTCACTTGGGGGAAATAGTGAGCAAATTCTAGAAAGTTATACACAGGCAATCACCAAATAAAGATCAAAGAGAGCATTGTCAAAAATATGACGACTTTTGGAAAAGTGGTATAACATAAATCATCGGAGGGTGTCGACGTAAATAGAAAGTCTGAAAGGATTTCAGCTCGGCTAACTTTGTTCGGTTTTTTCGCTAAAAACATTGATTTATTAAATTTGTAAAGAATCTCGGGGTTAGTGCGGAGGTAAACAATCCTTTAATAACTTTTAAGTGCTTAATAGTTGGAACGTACTCAGGTGGTGACGCTTTTCTCCGAAGATAAATGTAGAAAAAAGTTTGCCGCCCAAAGAGAATTTAAAGTGTTTGGTTTCAGTTCGTAAATAACTTTCTCTGGCATTTTCAATTACGTATGTTCACATGGGACTTTATTTTACGGACTTAACCGTTTTTTCTGAGGCCGACGATCCATTACATATGTTGTCAAACAAAGGTGGCGAAATAAATCATTCAATTTTTGTGGTTCCGGAACGAGAATTTCGCAAAATTTTTGAAAAATCTTAAAAAGTGCCAAATTTCATACTGACCATTACGGAAAAATTGCATTATTTTTTATAAGTGTAAATAAAATCCTATTAATATGAGATGCCGCGTCAACGGGTTTCGAAAACATATTTATTAAAAAAAAAAAAAAATAACAATAATGAAATGTTTACGTGAGGGAGCAAGCTTTCAAATAAAATAATGAAACGCTCCATCGAGCAAAGCGCACACTTTTTACCGCAATAGGGACATATTTTTTACTAATGGTGTACTTTATCTCACCGTCTGTGTTATGTAAGTAGTGAGGTGTGAACACAAATAAATACATTTTCGCCTCAAATCTCCACCTAAGTATCACCATCACCTAAACCCAAAAGACCAAACTTTAATTAATTATCAAATTAAATTACCTGTACCAGTCCTTATTAGTCGTCTTAAATCAATTAACTTTTAATTTTACGTGGCTGAAAAGTTGAAAAAGCAATTTGAAGCATCTCCTTTTCCCCCTCTAGTTAGCCCCCTTGCAAATACTAATTTAAACTTCCTCAAAAATAAAGATTAAAGTCCCACATGTTTAATCTTAATCCACGACACCAACTCGGACTCCGGACTCTTTAATTAAACCACCCCGTCATTTACATCCGAATACAACTGTCCAAACACAACAAAATATGTCAAAAGTTTATGACGAGATTCGTCCCTTTGGTGCGTTAACCCCTCATTTATTCTCTGCGGCTGAAATTTGTCTTTGTAAAAAACTTCAAAGTCCGGTCGCTTGTCGGCCCGGAACCGGAACCGGAACATTGCTCATTTCTACCGGCCGCCATTAAACGTTGACAACCAGAAACATTTCTTATCCCGCGAAAGATATTGTTGTTCGCACAATAACTTTCTAAATGTTTAAACATAAATCCAGACAAGTTCCAACAGTGGACTTTTTTGAATAGCGACGCAGTTGAGGAGTCGATAAAGGACGTCGGCTGGAAGATGAATTAGGTCGGGGTGAGATTTACACACGAAGTTTGGTCTTCGACGACGCGTAATCGCGTTTTAAGCGGCGGCGACTGCTACAGACGACACGACAAAATTTTGGAAAATCGACACAATTTTTGCGATCTGAACCATCAATCACAGTCCGGGGTTGGAGGGAACTCGGCCTCTGCTTTACCTACAATATACTCTATTTTCGGTATATTTCGCTGACATTACAAACTACTAATCTTACACGCTCTGCTTCTCCACGAAACAGAAAGCCGAAGGAAAAAATGCGAACAACAAAAACATAATCAGCGAATCTATCAAATAGTCATTTAGATTCCCTTTTTTACGGAGATCGGCCGGTGCTCCGAGTAAATCGCTGAGTCACTTCGCTAATGCTCGCATTTTAATTTAAGATTCGCGATTTAAAGGAACCGAGATGCGTTCCAAAACATAAATAAAAACGAAGTCGCGACATTTCCAACATCGCCTGTTTTCCGTTCTAGTCGGGCTTCTCACCTATCAAAATACTTAATTAAGTAGATAGAGATAAGTAAAGGCAAGTTAATCAAGCTCGAAAATAATATTGAGTTTCACGCTGACAGTGATTAATGTACTCACCGCAAAATACAAAACTTGGCAATCCAAGAGGGAGCCTGACTATACCTCGAAGCGTTCAGATTTTAATGTGTACTGATTGAATTTAAAAAGCTTTTAATTAATTATTGAAGACGGGAAATGGCGGCGTTTTTGCGCACGAATTTACGAATCCTCTTTTTGCGCGTGTTTTTCGAATGTTTAAACTCCGCCATAAAAGCCCAAGCGTGTATCTAAGTCCGAGCTTATTCTGATTTGTGTGAGTTCGCAACTTCATGTTTTTATGTCGCGAGAATAAATACCCGGATTGCCCCCGAATTTCGAAAAAAATCCGCAAAAATCCGCCCCGTTTTATTGCGGATATTTTCGGAACGATTCCGGCGAGAACAAAGTGAAATAATCTGATTAAGACTTGATTAAGATGATAATCGCGGAGTATTATGTCGTAATCACGGCAGACCTAAGTGAGTTTGAAGGGGGTTTAGTCTCATTTAAATTTGGTTCCGGGGGCGAATTTCCTCTATAATCGCATGATTTAGCTTGTCCCTAATTAATTTCGCCCGATGAATTTTCCTACGGGCACATGTTTTAATAAAACGCAATTGTCGCACGGTTGCTAATGCTTTTGTAAATAAATAAATATCTTCGAAGGAAGGCGGTTCGTGGAAATTAACAGAGGTCAATATTTAATTATGCGGAGGGGCGAAAGATTTTCGGTTGGTTTTATGAGGAAACGCTCGCTGCTGGTGAACTCAAATATGGTAAAATATAAATTGTGTGAGTCTACTCTAGTTTGGCCTTGTTATTGAATCGACAACAAACAGGTTGCGGAACAAAGTGCGTACGGTTCCTGAGTATGTAAATTTTCTTCGAAACACGTTAAGAGAATTATAATTGAGAACGAGTGCAATGGGGTCCATCGGGCGATGGTGACCTTCATGTTTTCTCGACGTGTCATGACCCCTGAAATTACCTGTCCCGTTTTCGTCTATACCAACTTTTGAGTTGTGGTATTAAAATGCGATTTTTATTTATTATTTATTACAAAAAAGGTGATTACAGAAAGTGAGAAAAAAAATAAAACAAGCATACAAATTTTTGATGAAGATGACCAGACAAATTTTGATTGACGTTTTACTATTTACACGATATTACTGACATATTTTAAATTCAATTTCGGATAATATCGATCTGGTGAAACTTGACAAATATAGATAGAAACGGGATATCTATTATCGTACGCCAGGGGTCATGAAACGTCCACAAAACATGAAAGTAGCCGTTCGTCGGATGGACCAAAAGAAGGAACGCGTAAATTTCAAAGAAGAGTGTATGAATGACGAATAACACCAGAAAAACTACGAATGAATGGTATTTTAACTTATTTTTCAATTATATTCTCAAAGAAGTGTGACAAAAAAAGGTGATTAAATTAAGAAAAATGGGGAAAAAATCGAAAAAATCCAACTAAAAAAGGATGAAAAAGTCACAAAAAAACACAGAAATGCTGTTACAAAAGGATAAAAAACGCGAGAAAAAAAGCGACCAAAAACACCAAAAAGGTGGCAAAAAGACGATAAAAACGCTTTAAAAAAAACAGAAAAAAAAGGAAAAAAGCAAAAAAGCCACAAAACTGAAATCAAACAAAAAGTGTCAAAGAAAGACCAAAAAAAAAGAGGGCCAAAAATGGGACAAAAAATGTGACAAAAAAAGCAACTAAAAAAAATAAAGCCAAATCGCCACAAAAAAAGACAAAATAGAGATAAAAAAGGTCCCAAAAAACTCCCCAAAAATTCAGCAAAAGAAAAAAATGTCAAAAAAAGGAGGTTATTAGAAAAGGACAAAAAATGCGCCAAAAAATGCGTCAAAGAACCGCAAAAAAGACACCAAAATAAATTGGGAAAAATGTGATAAAAAATCCAATTAAAAAATCGCCAAGAAACTCAAAAATATGAAAAAAATGGGGATGACTAAATGCGAAAGAAAAGGTCGCAAAAATGCGACTAATAAAAAAAAAGAGATAATAAAAAAGCGACAAAAAAAGCCACACAAAGGGGGTCAAAAAGTGTCACAAAAAACCGAAAAAACAAAAAAGGTAGCAGAAACGGAAAAAATACAACTAAAAAAAATACGATAAAGAAAGCAAAAAAAAAAAGAAAAAAACAAGCGTCAAAAAAAGAATCCAAGAAAGAACGCGACAAAAAAAACTAAAAAACATCAATTAAAAATAACGTTCCTAAAATGGTGAAAAATTAAGGATTAAAAGTGTGGCAAAAAACGACCAAAAATCAAGAAGACGAAAAAAAGTAAAAAAAATGTTCACAAAAAAGCGACAAAAGGCGTCAAAACATGACAAAAAAAATAAAACGCTGAAAAAGGTACAAAAAAAGGAACTAAGAAAAAGCAACCAAAAAAACTGAGAAAAAAAAACACAAAGAGAAAACAACAAGCGTGCCTAGAAGTCAACAAAAATGCGGCAAAAAAAAATAAAAATAAGAAGAAAAAAGTGGTAAAAAGTAATTAAAAAGGAGGTCAAAAAATATAACAACAAAAGAGCAACAAAAAAAGTAAATCAAGAATAGCAGAAAAAGCAACAAAAAAGGGGAGCAAAAATGCGATAAAAAACTAAAAATAGAGATGAAAAAGGTCCCAGAAAATTCAACAAACAAAATGACGAAAAAAAAGGTGAGGGAAACGGGAAAAATATAAAAAATCCAACCAAAAAAGGAATAAAAAAAGCCACAAAAAACACAGAAATGTTACTAAAAAATGGACAAAAAAAAAACGCAAAAAAAGCGACCAGAAACAACAAAAAGTGTTAAAAGGCGACGAATACGCTTGAAAAAAAAAGAGGAAAAAGGGACCAAAAACAGCAAAACATGTCAAAAGGCGACAAAAACGCCTTAAACACAAAAAATGAAACCAAAGGAAAACTGTCAAGGAAAGACCATAAAAAAGAGGACAAAAACACAAAAAATCGAAAAAACAATTGAAAAACTGGACAAAAAATGTGAGAAAAAAATTTAAAAAAATGTAAAGTAAAATCAACAAAAATGCGCGGCCATACCGCAAAAAAGGCACCAAAATAAATAGAAAAAAATTGCGATAAAAAATCCAACTAAAAATTCAAAACTAAAACGGAGGCAAAAAACGCGTTAAAAAAACTGAAAAAGGTGGCAAAACGACTAAAAAACGCATAAAAAAAGAGAAACGAAAGCAAAAAAGCCAAAAAAAGAACTAAAGAAAAAGTGATGAAAAATGTGAACAAAAAAAATTCGGCAGAAGAGCGAAAAAGCGCCAAAAAACTCAAAAAAATGAATAAAAGGTGGGACGAATAAATGTGAAAGAAAGGGTCGCAAAAATGCAACTAACAAAACAGAAAGCAAAAAACGCGGCAACAAAAAATGACAAAAAGTTTTTAAATAAAGGAGAATGTGGAAAGAAGCGAAAAAATCCAGCTGAAAAAGGAATTAAAAAAACAACAAAAAATTGCTAGGAGTATTAAAAAAAGGGACAAAAAATGCGAAAAAAACACTTAAAAAAAAGAGGAAAAAAAAACAAAAAATCCACAGAAATGGAAGCAAAGGAAAAGTGTCAAAAAAAGGAGGTCCAAAAATAAGACAAAAAACGTCTAAGCGCCAAAAAACACAAAAAACGTAAAAAACTGGGAAAAATAGCGGGACAAAAAATGCCCCAAAAAATTATCAAATACGCCAAAAAAGCGCGAAAAAGATACCAAAATAAATGGGGAAAAATGCGATAAAAAATACATCTAAAAAATTAACATTTAAAAAACGGGGACAAAAAACGCATAAAAAAGAGAAATGAAAGCAAAAAAAAGCCGCAAAAAATGCAACTAAAGAAAAAGTGGCAAAATGGTGATAAAAAATGTGAACAAAAAATCCAACAGAAGAGCGTCTGAAAAGACAAAATAATGAAAAAAAGGGGTACGAACAAATGCGAAAGAAAAGGATAATAAAACAAAGCGACAAAAAAGCCACACGAAGAGTGACAAAAAAAAAGAAAAAACGGGGCAAAAAACGATGAAAAAAGGCGAAAAAGAAAATACGAGAAAAAGAAGCAACAAAAAAGGAAAGCAAAAAACGCGGAAAAGGAAAAACAACTGAAAGGGGAGCAAAAATCCAATAAAAACTAAAAAAAATCACGAAAAAATGGCAAAAAAAGTGAATAAACAAAGGAAAATGGAGAAGAAAGCGAAAAAATACAACTGAAAAAGGAATTAAAGAAGCCAAAAATAAACACAAATGCTTTTAAAAAAGGGACAAAAACGCGAGAAAAAAAAACAAGCAAAGACCAAAAAAGTGGCAAAAAAGGCGATAAAACTGCTTTAAAAAAAAAAGTAAAAAAAAGGAAATAAAAGTCCCAAAAATAAGACCAAAAGTGTCAAAGAAAGGCCATGAAAAAGGAGGACCAAAAATAAGACAAAAAAACGTCTAAGCGCCAAAAAACACAAAAAACGTAAAAAACTGGGAAAAAAGCGGGACAAAAAATGCACTATAAAATTATCACGAAAGCGCCAAAAAAAGCGCAGAAAGGACACCAAAATAAATGGGGAAAAATGCGATACAAAAATCCATCTAAAAAATCAAAAATGCGACTAAAACGGGGACAAAAAACGCATAAAAAAGAGAAATGAAAGCAAGAAAATGCGCAAATACGGCAACTAAAGAAAAAGTGGCAAAAAAGTGGTAAAAAAGGTGAACAAAAAATCGAACAGAGGAGCGTCAGAAAACCCAAAAAAAAATAAAAAAAAGTGGGGACGAACAAAAAGAAAAGGATAATAAAATAAAGCGACAAAAAATCCACACGAAGAGTGACAAAAAGTGTGACAAAAAAAAAAAGAAAAAAAACAAACTTGGTGGAAAAAACGGAAAAAAATATAAGTAAAAAAATACGATGAAAAAAAGCGAAAAAGAAAATACGAGAAAAAGAAGCGACAAAAAGGAAAGCAAATAACGCGGAAGAAAAAACAAATAAAAAGGTAAGGGAGCCAAAATGCGATAAAAAACTAAAAATAGAGAAAAAAATCCAAAAAAGCCAACAATGACAAAAAAATGAAAAAATACAAATGAAAAAGGAATTAAAAAAGCCAAAAAAAAACAGAAATGCTGTTAAAAAAGTGTCAAAAAACGCGAGAAAAAAAGCGACCAAAAACCCCAAAAAAACGTCAAAGCGCCAAAAGATACAAAAAAACGGAAAAACTGGATAAAGCAATTGAAAAGTGAGACAAAAAAATGTGACTAAACAAACAACTAAAAAAAGTAAAGCAAAATCGCCAAAAAAGGGCGACAAAAAGGGGGCAATAAAATGCCACAAAAAAGACAAAATTAATCTCCAGGTCCAAAAATTGAACAAATGAAAAAATGTCGAAAAAGGAGGCGTTTAAAAAAGGGACGAAAGAATGCGCCAAATGAAAGTAAAAAAGTGAACAAAAAACCCGACCGAAGAGCGTCAAAAGCGCCAGAAAACCCAAAAAAACAAAAAAAGAGGGGAAGAATAAATGCAAGAGAAAAGTTCGCAAAAATGCAACTAATAAAAAACGGAAATAAAAAAATCGACAAAAAAGCCACACAAAGAGGGACAAAAAGTGTGCCAAAAAATGAAAAAACAAAAAAGGTGGTAAAAACGTTCCTTAAAAGATGATAAGCATAAAAAACAAATAATAAAGGCTGACTTGATCTGACCTGACAAGCATCCATTAAATTCTGTGGACCGATTTTTTTTGCAGTTTTTAGCAAAGATAGCAAATCCAAGGTGGTGATTAATAATTCGTTATGTAAATCATGCAATAAAAATTGTATTGTTGCTCTTGTAACTAAATTCTTGACATTTCCAACGAAAGTCGAAAAATGCAGTTCTGCATGACTCAGAATTTTAATTAATTTGCAGTGTAGTTAAAAGGATAAAAAATTCGTTTCAGATTATAAAATGCATAAATTCACACACGAATTTTTCGCCATTTGAGAAAAATATCATCTTCAACAATCAAATTTCTGTTTTTCAGTGACCACAGTTAACATTCACTTAAAGCAGAGAGCTTGAAAACGATCACCTACAACAGCTATCTAAATGCATAACTCACGCTATTTTTCTGCACTTTAAACTCGAAAAACGTGTTTTCTCAAGTTATTACAATTTATTATACAAAAACATATTCCGAACCATCGTTAGTAATGAACCTGAATGTCATTGCGACTGACATTGTGAAAATGTTAGTGAACCAAGGCTCATGGTCGTGATTTTTATTACTATTTTGTTTCAGCTGAATTTGCATTATTGATATTTTTAAAACAAATATTTTGTCAACCAAAATTAACCCAGTTTGTGGGCTGCGGTTTAACGACAACGTCGCGCATTTTCAAATAATAGTAGCACTATTTATATACTTAATACTTTTGGTTACGTCACCGTAAACATAAATGTGTAAAACATTTACTTGCTTTTAGTGTTAAATTTAAAGTCGTTCAAGCAGGAAGTAAATACTTGGCACCTCCTCATTACAACAATAGCAACACCAATTATCCTGAAAAATGGTATCCAGATAAGTGCATTTCAAGAGGATAATTTGACATCTATAGTTTCTCACTAATCCGTCTACGCAACTTTTCGTCAAGGATAACAAACATCGACCATGTATAAATAAGGAACTTAAAATATTTTCCGCAGTTTTACCATACGCACCTCCAATTTCGCCTGTCCAGAATGTCGCCCTAAATTTGACAATGTACCTCATAAACCACGTTGTCGCGACAACAGTGACACTTATTTTGGTAGATTTGACCACCTTAAGTGAGTGCCGACCTAACAACATTTGCAGAAATTTCATCGACTATAGTAGCATCCAGACCAACCCTAATTGTTGGTATAATCCAGATTTAGGCGCCACTGCGGTTGGTTTTTTCCAGATGTACCCTTAAACCTTCAGTCACATTTTTCATTTCAGGAACAAATTGCAACAAGGTACGGATTTCCGTTCGAAGAGCACGAAGTGACGACTGGTGATGGGTACATAATCACTTTGTTCAGGATTCCCCACAATGGGAGCGACGTCCACCGAAAAAGACCGGTGGTTTTTCTGCAACACGGTATAGCTGCAGATGGGTATACTTGGATGGTCGCCGGGCGAAATTCCAGCGGTAGGTTGGCATAAATTAACACATGGTTCAGGGTTAGGTTGGATTCGCGAGATGAATTTGACAAGGTTATTCACGTATTTGGTACATTTATATCGTTTATAAGTGTTAGAAGGTTCATAGTTAATGTCAGAATAAACGTAATCGATCTGGCATTGACATGGTCATTTTAAGAAAAATCAATTTATCTTCATTTCAGTTTTTATTTTCTCGAACCAAGGGTACGACGTCTGGATTTCCAACTGCAGAGGTACTGAACCCTCTTCCAAGCATGTGAAATATACACCCTACGACCGTGAATTTTGGCTTTACAGGTACTTGTACCCTCACTCAAAAACACTAACACTATTTTTACCACAATCAATCGTAGTTTTCACGAGATGGCCCTTTACGATATTCCCGCCATGCTAGATTTCGTCGCTGCTAAAACACAACAACAGATCAGTTACGTTGGGCACTCCATGGGTTGTACCATGGCTTTAATTTACACGTCCTTAATGCCCCAGCAAGCCCAAACCAATTTAAAATCAATAGTCGCCCTAGCTCCTGTAGCTTTCATGGACCATGTTACATCAGCCGTCAAACTTATAGTACCATTTCGTTACATAATTTGGGTACTTACGTCTAATTAGTAGTTAGTTTCTGACCATCACTCAGTATATTTCAGGAAGTTCTTTCATCAGCTGGAATTTACGGGGTTGGGCCGCAGCTAAAAAACCTACAACGTCTGTCGCACCTTTGCGGCAGCTATCCCTTCATTAAGGTCTGTGTCCTCACAAATGCACTTTTGTCTGGAATAAATACCATGGAAGCCAGTGCGGTATTTATTTATTTCGTTTTGGGTTAATAATGCCATCATGAGAATCATTTTAGAGCGCTTTTCCCATAGGAATAAGACACTTTCCCATTGGGCTTTCGATGAAAACGATTTTTCATTACGCGCAAATAATGGATACAAGGCGGCGGTTTCAGTTTTTTGATTATGGACCCGAGCTTAATTGGAGGTTGTACAACTCGTCGCTGCCTCCGGAGTATCCTATAGGAAATGTGAGGATTCCTATGCATTTGTTTTACGGGAATAGGGATACGCTTTCGGCTGAAAAGGTACTGTTTAAGAAATTGGAACACACTAGGTTTTATTTATTTATTTATTTTATTTACAGGACGTACATTATTTATACGAACAACTCAGGACGAACAAAACTATTAAAGAGGTATTTAATTTTGCACACCTGGATTTCCTCGGAGCTACGCATTCTGCGGACTTGTATTACATGTTGCTTGATTATCTGTGATTTTTTTTATAATTCATTTTCTAGGAGTTTTTTGTAACAAATTGTTGTTTTACGTGAAAATGTAAATATATTTATTTTTTCTTAGAAATCTTTTATTTACATTATAATCAGTAATAAAACCCATTGACCTGAACCGATCTTTTTTTAGAAGGATATGGATGGATATAGAAAAATACAGACGAATATGGGGGATATGGATGTGAATAGAAGAATATCAATAGATGTAGGCAGATATAGATGGATATAGACAGATGTAGAAGGCTACAGGTGTACATAGACGGATTTAGAATGATATAGAAGTCCAAATTCGTGATCCTGAGAAACAAAATTTCCGACGAGATAGAAGTTCACTACTATAGATTTTTCTCCGGACTGATATATGAGGATATAGTTTGATATAGAAGGATATTGAAACCTGTAGACGGATATGGGAGGAAATATAACGACACAGACAGACACACGGGATTTAGAAGGTTGTAAAACAACATAGACCCAAAAGAGGAGGATATAGAAGGACATAGATGAATATAGATGGAATAGAAAAATATAGACAAATATGGAAGGATGTAGATGGAAACAGAAGAATATAGAGAGATGTAGGCAGATATAGTGGATATAGACGGATATAGAAGGCTATAGATGTATATAGCGATATAGAAAAACATAGAAGGATATAGAAGCCCAGATTCGTGATCCTGAGAAAGAAAATTTCCGACAAGATAAAAGTTTTAAGGACCAATCTAAGAAATTTTAAAATTTCATCAAAAAATGTGAATTTTCTCCGTTATTACTGCCAGCAGAGCAAAACTAAACACGGATTCGTAATTCTGAGAAAATTTCGGATAAGATCCTTTGAACTGATATAGAATGAGATAGATGGATATGGAAAATTATAGAGGTAGAGCAAAAATCAGCCCAGATTCGTGATTTTGAGAAAATTTACGATAATATGGATTTTTCCCCGGACCGATATATGAGTTTGATATAGAAGGATATAGATGGATGTAGAAGGATATAGAAAAATATAGACGGATATGGGAGGAAATAGAACGACACAGAGAGATACAGACGGATTTAGAAGGCTGTAGAACAATATTGACAGAAACATGGAAGATATAGAAGGATATAGATGAATATAGATAGAATAGAAAAATATAGACGAATACGGGAGGATGTAGATGGAAATAGACGGATATAGAGAGATGTAGGCAAATATAGATGGATACAGACCGATATAGAAGGGTATAGATGTATATAGACGGATATAAGAAGATATACATAGATGGATTTAGAAAAACATAGAATAGTACAGCCGGATATGGAAGGACATGAAGGATGTGAGAAAAAAAAATCCTGCAAGATAGAAGTTCTAAAGACGAAGAAGTTTTAAAATTTCATCAAAAAAGGTGAATTTTCTCCGTTATTACTGCCAGCAGAGCAAAAATAAGGACGGATTCGTGATTCTGAGAAAATTTCGGATAAGATTATTTGAACTGATATAGAATGAGATTGATGGATATGGAAAATTATAGACGGATATGGGAGAAAATAGGACGCGTTAAAAAAAGAGAAATTGACAAAAAAGGTGATAAAAAAGTGAGGAAAAAATTCGGCAGAAGAGCGTCAAAAAGCGGAAAAAAAACTTAAAAAATGAATAAAAGGTGGAACGAATAAATGCGAAAGAAAAGATAGCTAAAATTTAACTAATAAAAAAAGGGGGAATAAAAAAAGCAACCAGAAAACATACAAAAGGGGACAAAAGGTGGTAAAAACGAGAAAAAAACCAACTAAAAAAAGTACGATAAAAAAGCGAGAAAGAAAATACGAGAAAAACAAGCTACAAAAAAAGAAAGCAAAAAACGCGGCAACAAAAAAAATGACAAAAAAGTCTTTAAATAAAGGAAAATAGGTAAAAAGGCGAAAAAATACAACTGAAAAAGGAATTAAAAAAGCCACAAAAAATTGCTAGGATAATTAAAAAAACGGACAAAAAACGCGAGAAAAAAATCGACCAATAACACAAAAAAGGGGCAAAAAAGGCGATAAAAACGCTTAAAAAAAAAGAGAAAAAAAAGGAGGAAAAAGACAAACAAAAAATCCACAGAAATGGAAGCAACGGAAATGTGTCAAAAAATGAAGGTCCAAAAATAAGACAAAAAAAAGTCTAAGCGCCAAAAACACAAAAAACGTAAAAAAACTGGGAGAAAAGTGGGACAAAAAATGCACCAAAAAATTATCACAAACCCGCCAAAAAAGCGCAAAAAAGACATTAAAACAAATGGGGGAAAATGCGATAAATGCGATAAAAAATCCACCTAAAAAATAAAAAATGCGACTAAAATGGGGACCAAAAACTCATAAAAAGGGAAATGAAACCAAGAAAATCCGCAAAAATTGCAACTAAAGAAAAAGTGGTAAAAAGGTGATAAAAAAGATGAACAAAAAATCCAACAGAAGATACGATGAAAAAAAGCTGAAAAGAAAATTTACAAAAACAACCGACAAAAAAAGAAAACAAAAAACGCGGAAAAGAAAAAACAACTAAAGATGGGAGCAAAAATGCGATAAAAATTAAAAAGAAAGATAAAAAAATCCAGACAAATTCAACAAAAAAATGATAAAAAAATAAAGGAAAATGGGGAAAAAAGCGAAAAAATACAACTGAAAAAGGAATTCTAGAAGCCATATTTAAACACAAATGCTGTTAAAAAGGGACAAAAACGTGAGAAAAGTCACAAAAATAAGACCAAGGGAAAAGTGTCAAAGAAAGGCCATAAAAAAGAGGACCAAAAATACGACAAAAAACATCAAAGCGTTAAAAAACACAAAAAAAGGAAAACACTAGGAAAAAGCAATTGAAAAGGGGGACAAAAAATGTGACAAAAAAAGGCAATTAAAAAAAATAAAGCAAAATATTCAAAAAAGCGCAACAAAATAGGGGGCAAAAGTGCCACAAAAAAAAGGCAAAATAGAAATAAAAAAGGTCTCAAAAAAGTTTCCCAAAAATTCGACACAAGAACAAATTCAATAAGGACGTATACACCAAAATAAATGGGTAAAAATGCGATAAAAATTCCAACTAAAAACTCAAAAATGTGACTAAAACTGAAAAACGTGGCATAAATCGATTAATAAACGCATAAAAGAAACAGAAGATATAGAAGGATATAGATGAATATAGATAGAATAGAAAAATATACACGAATACGGGAGGATATAGATGGAAATAGGAGGATATAGAGAGATGTAGGCAGATATAGAAGGATACAGACGGATATATAAGGCTATAGATGTATATAGACGGATATAAGAAGATATACATAGATGGATTTAGAAAAACATAGAATAGTACAGCCGGATATAGAAGGACATAGAAGGATATAGAAGCCCAGATTCGTGATCCTGAGAAAAAAGATTTCTGACAAGATAGAAGCTTTAAGGACCAATCTAAAAAGTTTTAAAATTTCATCAAAAAAGGTGAATTTTCTCCGTTATTACTCCCAGCAAAAATAGGGACGGATTCGTGATTCTGAGAAAATTTCGGATAAAATTATTTGAACTGATATAGAATGAGATTGATGAATATGGAAAATTATAGACGGATATGGGAGGATTTAGAACGACATAGATAGATATAGACGGATTTAAAAAGTTGTAGAGAAATATAGACCTAAAGAGGAGGATATAGAAGGATATAGACGGATATAGAAAAATATAGACGAATATAGGGAGATATAGATGGAAATAGAGAGACACAGACAGATATAGAAGAATATATAAGAATATGGGAGGATATATATTGAAATAGAAGAATATAGAAGAATATAGACAGATATAGATGGATATAGATGAATGTGAAATGCTATAGATATAGACGGATCTAGAAGGTTGTAGAAGAATAAAAACCCAAAGAATAGGATATAGATGGATTTAGAGCGACATAGAATGGTACAGACGGATATTGACTGATATAGACGAATATAGACGGACACGTAAAAATATAGATGGACCTAGAAGGATATAGAAGCCCAGATTCGTGATCCTAAGAAAGAAAATTTCCAACAAGATGGAAGTTCTAAGGACCGATGTACGAAGTTTTAAAATTTCATCAAAAAAGGTGGATTTTCTTCGTTATTACTGTTAGCAGGGTAAAAATAAGTACAGATTCGTGATTCTGAGAAAATGTCCGATAAGATAAGACGTGTTTTCAAACTGATATAGAATGATATAGATGGGTACAGAAATGTATACAAATTTTTCCGGATGAATTAGAATATTTTCAAATTTTATCAAACCACGGGGATTTTCTCCGTTATTACTACCTGTAGAGCAAAAATAAGCACAGATTCGTAATCTTGAAAAAATTACAATAATATGGGTTTTTCTCTGGGCTGATATATGAGGATATAGTTTAATATAGAAGGATATGGAAGGAAATAGAACGACCCAGACAGATACAGATGGATTTAGAAGGTTGCGAAAGAATATAGACCAAAAGAGGAGGATATAGGAGGATATAGAAGGATATAAATGTATATAGAAAAATATAGAAGAATATGAGGAGATAAAAATGGAAATAGAAGGACACAGACAGGTATAGAAGAATATGAGAAGGTATAGATCGAAATAGAAGGATATAGAAAGATGTAGGCAGATCTATTATATAGATGTATATAAAGACGGATATTGACGGATATAGACGAGTATAGACCTACGCCGAAAGATATAGACGGACTTACTTAGAAGGATATACGAGCAGAAGCCCAGATTCGTAATCCTGTGAAAGAAAATTTCGGACAAGATAAAAGTTCTAAGGACCGATCTAAGAAGGTTTAAAATTTCATCAAAGAAGTTATATTTTCTAAGTTATTACTGCCAGCATAACAAAAATAAGCACAGATTCGTGATCTTGAAAAAATTTACGATAATATAGATTTTTATCCCCACATATATAAGGATATAGTTTGATATAGAAGCATATAAGTGGATGTATTAGGATATTGAAAAATATAGACGAATATGGGGGGATATAGATGGAAATAGAAGGAGACAGACAGATATAGAAGGATCTATAAGAATATGGGAGAATATAGATTGAAATAGAAGGATATAGACAGATATAGATGGATATAGACGGATGTAGAATGCTATAGATGTATGTAGGTGGATATAGAAAGATATAGATGGATTTAGAGCGATATACAATGGTACAGACGGATATTGACGGATATAGACGAATATAGATGGACGGGTAAAAATATAAATGGACCTAGAAGGATATAGAAGGCCAGATTCGTGATCTTGAGAAAGAAAATTGCCGACAAGATAAAAGTTCAAAGGACCGATCTAGAAATATTAAAATTTCATCAAAGGAGGTATATTTTCTCCGATATTACTGCCAGCAGAGCAAAAATAAACACAGATTCGTGATCCTGAGGACTAATATATGAGGATATAGTTTGATATAGAAGGATATAGGTGGATGTATAAGGATATAGAAAAATATAGTTGGATATGGGTGAAAATAGAATGACACAGAGAGATACAGACGGATTGAGAAGTAATTTGGAAGTTTGTTGAAGGATATAGACTGAACGAGGAGGATATAGAAAGATATAGACAGATATAGATGGACAGAGAAGGATGTAAACTGGTATATAAGGATATAGAAAAGATATAGACGGATATCGACGGATAAATTCAGGTAATTTTCGTAAAATTGGTGACCTGACTGGATCTAAGCTGACCTGATCTGACCTGACTGCAGCGGAAACTGTAGCATTTAGCTAGCATTATGAGGGATTTTCTTAGAACACGAGGGATCACCAGACCTGACCTGATCTGACCTGACCTGATTTGACCAATATTTCTTATTTCAGGACAATTTATTCCATTAATCTTTAAGATCTCAGTCTTTAAGACTGTGAAATGCCGAAAAAAATTTGATATTAATTCTCTTCAGAAAATTGGTGAGGTTATTTCGAATGACTATAAAGTCAGTATCACTTAAAATGACCTCATAATTTTAACTATACGGAATGGGTTTTCTAAAAAAAACATTCTAGGAACCATATATTGAGATTAATTGAGATTTATTTATTCATCTCCTCCAAAAGTGCCATGACGTCATCTCAAAAACTGTGCTAGCGAATCTTAGGTGGAAAATACTCCAAGTGTGTGCGATTTTGGTGTGCCTACATTTTCTGCAAAATTATGAACAAAAACAATAACACTTTTAATTTTAACTTCAATCCTCAAATTTCTTAAAAACTTCCAACATTACGTCGAACAGATCTTCTATAACTGTCTTACTATAGGCAAAATCTACGTGCGCGTAAGGAATATTCTCGCCATTCGACACGGAATATTTGCACTTTTGCCTAGTCCCGATTTCGTCGTATGTCCTCTCAAGGTCCTAAAACCCAAAATAAATCAACGCCAGCACCCAACAAAACGAACCTCTTTGTCGTAGTACACGTCACTTTCTCCATAAAATATGCACACCGGCACACTAACCGCACTCAAATTATATAACGGAGGATCGCGTGCTCCATATTTCTTTAAATTAGTGCGACGCCCGTGGTCAAACTTCTGCAACTTGTTACTTAAACCCAGTTGCAAATAATGTTTAAACTCGAGGATGGACACCCCGTCGGGCCAATAGCTGAAAAACAGGGGCAAATCTTCCTGAAATTGTGTCACTAATTAGAAATCCGCGCAAAAAACGTTATTATTTACTGGCGGAAACAACTTGTTCGAGCCTGAAGCGACTGTTATAAAGTTGAGACATAGCTGCGGTAACACTCCACAAGTGTAGACTCCAAGCGCTGGTAAGAAATTTTGGTAGAAAAGTCCTCGCACTCCGAATTGAATTAACATGTCCTGAAACGACAATGAACTAGCGAAACGACTACTTGGTGTCTACGTACGGTCACTGCAAGGGCTGGTTTATAAAAATATTTGAGTGGGACGAGGTTGTGGACGTATACAGTGGGACCTAAAAGAAAGACCGACTGAAGCATTGAACTAGCTTTGGGATGTGACGAAGCAAACATGATTCCGATGGTAGTTCCAAAGGAATCTCCGACGTAGTGTACTTTGTGGCCACTCTTAGTGTAAACGAACGAGATCAGAGCGGGTAGATCATTTTCGACTATGTTGTCCAAACTAAAATTAAAATTGTAGACAAATGGGAGTAATCAGGGTTTAGTACTTGTAAGTCCAGAATTGTGGATCACGGGTGGTCAAATTTCTATGTTTTCGGGAATAAACTGACCCGCGGATGTTTCCTAGCCACACTTGGTAACCCTTGTCGACGAAATAAAATGCTACTAAGGGTTATTTTTGTTTAAAAATAGAGCAACATTTATTACCACAAGAGCGGTTCCCCAGATCCACGTAGTGTCCACTAGTCACAGTCAAACCATGTTGCAGATAAACCGGGTTTGGTTTAGAGGGTTTATTTTTTCCAAAAACGTAAAACAAAGTCAAAATATAACCATCTTGGGTTGTCACCTGGTACGTTTCTATGTTATACCCGTTTCTTTTTACCATTGTGGGCTTAAAAAAAAACATTAGTACCAACTTTTCACATTTATTTTTACCTACAACGTCGGACAAAACGTCAGGGTTGTCGTACCATTTTGTCAAAAAAGCGTTGTTTTTGAAATTCAGCGAACACACAAACAGACAAGACAAGCGAAAACAGACCAAAACAACGAGTGCGGTTTTCATGGCGTTTAAATATCGACTAATAGTTTACACAAATTTAACACATAGGTGTCGCTGATAAAAGTCAAACTCTAAAAATTCGGAATTTAGGCGCTAGTGTAAACTGGTTTGGATTTTTTTTTTTATTATTAAGTACTTACTAAATTTGTAAAAATATTTCACCGACACCATACTGCTTCCACTCACGTAACGATTTTGATAGTGAAAGGAAATGTTCGAGTTATAGAATGAAAGTCATGATTGTTTATTCATTAAAATGGAACCTCCAAAATGTGAATTAAATTATTTAATAATACGTTCAAGAAAAAAAAATAGTTCAATTTCAAGCCTCAAATTTCTTTAAAACGTCCAAGACTACGTCGTACAAATCTTTAGTAACGGTTTTGCTGTACCCAAAATCGAGGTGTCCGTAAGAAATATTTTTGTCGTCAATACGGCATATTTGCACTTTTGACTGGTCCCGATTTCGTTATAAATCCTCTCAAGGTCCTAAAACTCAAAATAAATTAACGCCGGCAGCCAAAATAAACGAACCTCTTTGTCGTATAACTGGTCACTTTCTAATGTTGAAATTAATGAAAATTTTGAAGCATGTTATCCAAAAATACATCGATACAACAAGCACAGGTCTTAACGAACTTATGTTGAACATTCATCAACTTTAAATTTGAGATTAAAAATATAATAAAAAAACTATATTAACAAATGGTTTGAGTGTTCAAAGCAGAAGTATTGGTCTGCAAAAATTAATTTTGGACGAAAATCCAAAAAAAAAAAAATTCGTTCCTTGCATAAGTCCCATTTTATATTAACTTGTTACTAATGCTACAAAAATTTAGAATACCCTAAAGACTCCAGAGATTCTAAAGGACTTAAATTTTCTGGATTCCTGAATTTAAAGATTTAAGAATACTAAAGTTTCTAGACCTCCATCATCAATAAGATTTAAACTCATTTCTCCAGGAATTCCGGAAATTCTAAATACTCCAAAAAAATTCCAACATTGCACAAATTTTTAATCCCGGGATTTATTGAAATTGGTTGTAAAGATTTCAAAGATTCCAGAAGTTTCAAAGATTACAGAAGTTTCAAAGATTCCATAGATTCTGGAGACTCTATGAGTTGTAGAGATTCTAGAAGTTCTGACGATTCTAAAGACTCTAAATAATGTAAAGTTTCTAAAGATTCTAGAGGTTTTGTAGATTTTAGAGGCTGTAAAGATTTCAGAGATTCTAAAGAGCCTAAATTTTCTGAATCCCTGAATTTAAGGATTTAAGAATTCTAAAGTTTCTAAATCTCCCTCATCAATAAGATTTAAAGTCATTTCTACAGGGTGTTGTTTAAAAAATGCAACTTATTTGTAACTTTCAAATGAAACGTGTTTATTTAATCGCGTTAAGGAATTTTTTTCAGTCATTCCAAATATTTCAAAAATTTTAGAGGTTTTAGAAAAATCAAACAGGTATTATGAAAATTTCAGAGATTGCGAAGGATACAAAAAATTCCAGAATTCCATAAATTTTTAGAATCTCGGGATTTATTGAAATTGGTTGTAAAGATTTCAAGGATTCTAGAGGATTTAAAGATTCTCAAGATTCTGGAGACTGTGAGTTTCTAGAAATTCCAAAGATTCTTGAACTTCCAGAGATTATAGAGGCTCCAACAATTCTAAAGATTGTAGAGAATTTAATCATTCTAGAGATTCCAGCGATTCTGGAGATTCAAAATACGGTAGAAATTCCGAATAAAACGTCTAGAGAGTAGATTGTAGATTCTAGAAATTCGGACGATTCTCTAAATAATATAAAATGTCTAAAGATTCTAGAGGTTTTGGAAATCTTAGAGACTGTAAAAATACCAGAGATTTTAAAGAATCTAAATTTTCTGAATCCCTGGATTTAAGGATTTAAGAATTATAAAATTTCTAAAAGCCTTCTTAACAACGTGCAACTGGTTCCTAACTTTTTTTTAAAGATTCCTAAATTTTTCAAGACTTAAAAATTAATTTTAACGATTCTAAAGTTTCTAAAGATTCCAGATCTCCACAATCAAAGAAGATTTAAACTCATTGCTACAGGTGCTTAAAAAGTGCAACAGGTCTCTAACGTTTTTTTTTAAGATTTCAGAGAGTTTAAAGATTCTAGAGGTTCAGGGTTTCCAGAGATTCCAAAGATTCTCAAGATTTCAGAAATTATAGACATATCAATAATTCTAGAGATTGTAGAGAATTTAGACATTCTTGAAATTGTCCGACTTTTAGAATTTAGCTATTCCAGCTATTCTAGAGATTCAAAAAGTGGTAGAAATTCTCAAGATTCTAGAGATTCTAGAAATTTTGATGATTCTAAAGACTCTAAAATAATCTGAAGTTTCTGAAGATTCTAGAGGTTTTAGAGATCTTAGAACACTCTAACAATACTAAAGTTCCAAAATTTGTCAAGACTTAAAAATTTTAGCGATTGTAAAGTTTCTAAAGATTCTAAAGATTCCAGATCTCCACAAACAAAGAAGATTTATTAAACTCATTGCTACAGGTGTTTAAAAAGTGCAACTGGTTCCTAACTTTTTTCAAAGATTCCAGGGATTTTAAAGATTCTAAAGATTCAGGGTTTCCAGAGATTCCAGAGATTATTGAATTCCTGTTATTTTATTTTTTTTTTTGATTCTTTGCATCTCTAATTTTCATAATCTTTGAGATTTCTCAAACCTCTAAAATTTTTGAAATATTTTAAGCGATTTAATCCATCGCTTAAAATACAATGTTTAAAATTTAGAGAATCTTTACTCTTTCTTCAGATTTTCTACCATATTTTAAGTCTCTAGAATCGCTGGAATCTCTAGAATGTCTAAATTCTCTACAATCTCTAGAATTACTGGATTCTCTATAATCTCTGGAATTTCAAGAATCTTTGGATTCTCTGGAAACTCACAGAGTCTAGAATGTTTAGAACCTTTGAAACCTCTGAAATCTTTGAAATCGTTACCACCAATTTCAGTAAATCCCGAGATTAAAGAAAATTGTAGAATTCTGGAAATCTTTGGAATATTTAGAATCTCTGGAATTTGTGGATTTTTTTGGATTCTCTAAAATTTTTGAAAGATTTTGAATTATTGAAAAAGATTCCTTAACGCGATTGAATAAACATGTTTCATTCGAAAGTTATAAGCAAGTAGCATTTTTTAAACAACACCCTGTAGAAATAAGTTTAAATCAGATTGATGGTACCGATCTAGAAACTTTATAATTCTTAAATCCTTAAATTCAGAGATTCAGAAAATTTAGGTTCTTTAGAATCTCTGGAATCTTTACAGTCTCTAGGATCTACAAAACCTCTAGAATCTTTAGAAACTTTACATTATTTAGGGTCTTTAGAATCGTCAGAATTTCTAAAATCTCTACAATCTATAGAATTTGTAGATTTTTTTTCAGAATTTCTACCATATTTTGAATCGCTGGAATCCCTGGAATGTCTAAATTTTCTACAAACTCTAGAATTGTTCAAATCTCTATAAACTCTGGAATGTCAAGAATCTTTGGAATCTCTGCAAAACTCACAGTCTCTAGAATCTTTAGAATAATTGAAACCTTCCTTCTTTACAAAAAATTCCAAAAATCTCTGGAATTCCTCTATTTTTTGGATCCTTTGCAATCTCTGAAGTTTTCATAATATTTGATTTTTCTGAAACTCTAAAAGTTTTGAAATATTTGGAATGACTGAAAAAAATTCCTTAGCGCGACTAAATAAACACGTTTCATTTGAAAGTTATAAATAAGTTGCATTTTTTAAATAACACCCTGTAGAAATAAGTTTAAATCAGATTGATGGTACCGATCTAGAAACTTTATAATTCTTAAATCCTTAAATTCAAAGATTCAGAAAATTTAGGTTCTTTAGAATCTCTGGAACCTTTACAGTCTCTAAGATCTACAAAACCTCTAGAATCTTTAGAAACTTTACATTATTTAGAGTCTTTAGAATCGTCAGAATTTCTAAAATCTCTACAATCTATAGAATTTGTAGAACTTTTTTTCAGAATTTCTACCATATTTTGAACCGCTGGAATCCCGAGAATGTCTAAATTTTCTACAAACTCTAGAATTGTTCAAATCTCTATAAACTCTGGAATGTTAAGAATCTTTGGAATACTTGAAACCTCTGGAATCTTTGAAATCTTGACAAAAAATTCCAAAAATCTCTGGAATTCCTGCATTTTTTTGATCCTTTGCAATCTCTGATGTTTTCATAATATTTGATTTTTCTGAAAACTCTAAAAGTTTTGAAATATTTGGAATGACTGGAAAAAATTCCTTAACGCCATTAAGTAAACACATTTCCTTTGAAAGTTATAAATAACTAGCATTTTTTAAAGAACACGTTGTAGAAATGAGTTTAAATCTTATTGATGATGGATGTCTAGAAACTTTAGAATCTTTACAAACTTTTATTATAAATCCTCAAATTCAGGGATCCAGAAAATTTAGGTTCTTTCGAATCTCTGGAATCTCCACAGTTTCTAAGATCTCAAAAATAAGAAACTCTAGATTATTTAAAGTCTTTAAATAAAAATTAAAACTGAAAAAATCGCAGATTGTTTATTCATTAAAAAAGGAACCTCCAAAATGTGAATGAAATTATTTAGTAACACGTCCAAGAAAAAAAATTAGTTCAATTTCAAGCCTCAAATTTCTCCAAAACGTCCAAGACTACGTCGTACAAATCTTTAGTAACGCTCTCGCTATACCCAAAATCGAGGTGCCCGTAAGACACATTTTTGTCGTTCGACACGGCATATTTGCACTTTTGACTACTCCCGATTTCGTTGTAAGTCCTCTCAAGGTCCTAAAACCCAAAATAAATGAACGCCGGCAGCCAAAAACAACGAACCTCTTTGTCGTATAACTGGTCACTTTCTCCGTAAAATATGCACACTGGCACACTAATTGCACTCAAATTGTATAACGGAGGATCGCGAGTTCCATATTTTTTTAAATTGGTGTGACCCCCGTGGTCAAATTTTTGCAACTTGTTGCTTATACCTAGTTGTAAATAGTGTTTCAACTCGAAAATGGACAACCCGTCGGGCCAATAGCTGAAAAAGAGGGGCAAATTTTCCTAAAATTGTGTCCTAATTAGGCACTCGTGCTAAACACGTTGATTGTTATTTACAGGTGGAAACAACTTGATCGAGCCTGTCGTGACTTTTATAAACTCGAGACATAGTTCTGGTAGCATTTTACAATAGTAGACTGCAAGGATTGGTAGGTACTTTTGGTAGAGAAGTCCTCGCACTCCGAACAGGATTAACATGTCCTGAAATAGAAACCAAAACTACCGAACCGATTACTTGGTGCCTACGTACGGTCATTATAAGGGCTGGTCTGTAAAAATACTTGAGTGGTTGGAGGTTGTGGATATATACAGCCGGTCCTAATAGAACGACCGACTGAAGCATTGAACTAACTTCCTTGTTTGACGCAGCCAACATCACTCCGACGGTGGTCCCAAACGAATCGCCGCCGTAGTGTACTTTGTGACCACTCTTGTTGTAGACGAAAGAAATCAGAGCTGGTAAATCGTACTCAACTATGCTATCCAAACTAAAATTATAACATTGTAGACAAGTGGGACCAACCAGGGTTTAGTACTTGTAAGTCCAAAACTGTGGATCACGGGTGGTCAAATTTTTATGTTTTCGGGAATAAGCTGACCCGCGGACATTTCCTAGCCACACTTGGTACCCCTTGTCGACGAAATAAAATGCTACTAAGGGTGATTTTTGTTTAAACATTGATCAACAATTATTACCACAAGAGCGGCTCCCTAGATCCACGTAGTGCCCAGTGTTGACAATTATACCATGCTGCATATAAACCGGGTTCGGTTTAGAGGGTTTATTTTTTCCAAAAATGTAAAATAAAGTCAAAATGTAACCATCTTGAGTTGGCACCTCGTACGTTTCTATGTTATACCCGTTTCTTTTTACCATCGTGGGCTAAAAAAACCATGAGTACCAACATTTCACTCGTATTTTTACCTACAACGTCGGACAAAACATCGGGGTTTTCGTAACATTGTTTCGAAAAAGGGGCTATGGGGTAGAGATATCCTCTCCGACAAGCGTTATTTTTGAAATTCACCGAACAAGCAAAGAGCAAAGACAGGCGAAAAGCGACCAAAACGACGAGTGTGGTTTTCATGGTAGTTAAGTATCGACTGTTTAAGTTATACTTGACCTGTATTTATTTAAATGCACCTAAATTTAGTAAATGGGTGTCCTGATAATAGTAAACTATACTATAAAAATTCAAAAATGTAACCTCTAAATTGTTTTGTTAACGATACATTGACTTTAAAGTGGGCGCTGTTTGTAATGTCTGGTTGCTAAAGCAACACAAAGTAGCAAATCAAAAAAATGTAAGCACTAACAAAATGATTTATCAAAGGAAAGAATATAGAAATGTACGACGCGACCTTGTATTATTATTATTATTATTATTTTTAATGTACATAATCAGTCTGACGTAACAGTAATTACGTTTCTTATCTCTTGTGCGCAAAAGTTTGTACATTTAAAGCACTTCATTATGGCTCAACACAAGTTAGAAAAAATATTATAGAAATATAATGTTAAAATTATTTATGAAATTTATTTTTCCAAATTTATACACGAATTAAGGCAGCTGTAAAAAATAACTATAAACTTAGAAAAAGTGGAACGAATTTAAAAGCGAAATTATTCGAGCAAACATAATTGGAAGGATGTTATCAGCAGACGCCTGTCCGTAATACCACCATTAGCTATTTGCTACGTTTTCGACCTGGACTTTATTCATTTAAAATTTTTTCGTTATTCTAAAAACGGGAAAAAAGCAGAGGCTTTGAAAGTAATACGTTGCGGCAAAAAATTCGTTTTGGGTATATAAAAGACCGAATGGAGCTCGCGTAATGAGCGAGACGTTATCATACGAATTCCCGTTATTAAAAAAATGATAAGTATACGTCAACTATATTTCTTGCTTTGGCGTTTTTTGCTTCCACAGTTATTTTCTCGTAGTGAGTTAAAGTCAGTTTTTATAACCCATTTACACGCAATTTTTTAGAAAATTTTGGACCACCTTAACATCAAAGGACTATTTTATAACGAAAAATTCGTTCACTCAGTTCTAACCAAAATTTGTAAAGTGACCCCCTGGATATGCTATGACCTACTAATAAGTTGGACGTTTGGAAAAAGCACACACTTCCCCGGTGTAAACAGTTTTATTATTTAATTATTTAAATCGATAATTCAGACTTTCAGGACGACCTTCTGTTGTTTTTTAATTACTGGCCAAGCGGAAGTTCAATTTATGAGTTGTTATAATACATACAAATTATAAAATCAAAACAATTTCAAAAGTTTGATTATGGATCTGCGCGAAATTTGAAAGAGTATGGAAGCGAAAGCCTCCCTGTTTATAATCTGTCCCAAATAAAACTACCAATTTGTTTATTCTATGGAAAAAACGATGTTTTTTACAGAAAAGAGGTTAATTTTTCGTAGATACTTACACTTAACGTAAATAATTGTGTTTTTTTTAGAACTTAGAAAGATTGTACAACGAAATCGGCAGCACCAGAAAATGCCAACACTCGATTCCTATTAGAGAATGGGATTATTACAATCACATGGATTTCTTGTATGGATATTCCATCCGCACGGATTTTGATTCAAACCTGGCTAAGACTCTCAGAGGTTTTGAAACTAATTAAATTGTATACACTGTGTGCACTAAATATATTTATGACATGCGCGAAGTTTCTTGTTGTCGAAATAAGTCTACACATATTAAGAAAAAAAGGGAAAATATAAACCCCGCCTACCCACCCTGTCTCAATTGTGATGATTTTTTTTATTCGTCGTGAGCCAAGAGGGCGTAGCTTAACTGCAAAATTCTTATTTTTCTACGAGAAATTAAAAACATGTTTTTGAGTATCGTGTTGGTCAAAGAATGCCACTTTTGTATTTTAAGAAAAATAAAGCCAAAGATTAGGCCCCACCCATACCCGCCCAGATATCAATTCTCATTTGTGATGATTTTTTTATTCGTTGTCAGATCAAGAGGCGGGACTTATTTGCAAGATCCATATTTGTCCACAAAATGGAATAAATCTAAAAAAAAATTCAATAAAAGGAAAACACAACAAATTTTAAAAATCAAAAGAATCCAAAAAAAAAGAAAAAATCGAAGGAATCTAAAAAACCCAAGAATCTCAAGAAAATTATGAAAAATTCAAAAAAATCCGAAAGATCCGAAAAACCTGAAAATCCGAAAAATCCGAAAAAGCCAAAATATCGAAGGATGAAGAAAATTAAAAAATAAAAAAATCGAAGAATTAAACAATCAAGAAAATAAAAAAACAAGAAACTCAAAAAATACAAGAACTCCAATAATACCAAAAATCTAGAGAAGCGAAAAGTCCCCAAATAAAAAAAAATCAGACAATATAAAAACACAAAAAAAAACAAAAACTTATAAAAATGATCGAAAAAAATGGAATGTATTCAAAAAAATCCAATAAAAGAAAATACCTAAAAAGTTTACAATAAAAAAAAAATACAGAAAACCAAAAAACCGAAGAAACTTAAAAATTCAAGAATCTCATGAAAAATATAAAAAATCCGAAAATTTCGAGAAAAAGCTGAAAAACTCGAAAAAAAACAAGAAAAGGCCAAAATATCAAACTGTAAAAAAAATAAAAAATCACAAAATCGGAGAATTAAAAAAAAAACAAAAAATCTAAAAAAATGGAGAAATTCCCAAAAAATTCAAGATAATCAGAATGTATAAAAACAAAATAAAAAATTTTACAAATAATGGAAAAAATGGAATAAATCCAAAAAATCCAATAAAGGAAAACCCAGAAAGCCTAAAAAATTAAAAAATTAAAAGAATCCAAAAAAACCAAAAAATCGAAGGAATCTAAAAAACCCAAGAATCTCAAGAAAAATACAAATTCAAAAAAATTCGAAAAATCCGAAAAAGCCAAAAAAGCCAAAATATCGAAGGATCAAGAAAATTGAAAAATCAAAAAACGGAAGAATTAAACAACCAAAAATATCTAAAAAAAACAAGAAACTCAAAAAACACAAGAACTCCAATAGTTCTAAAAATCTAGAGAATCGAAAAGTTTCCAAAAATAAAAAAAAAACAGAAAATATAAAAACAAAAATAAAAATTTTACAAATGATCGAAAAAAATGGAATATATCCAAAAAAAATCGAATAAAAGAAAATACCTAAAAAAATTAAACAATAAAAAAAATACAGAAGACCAAAAAACCGAAGAAACCTAAAAATCCCAAGAATCTCATGAAAAATATGAAAAATTCGAAATTTCGAAAAAAAAGCTGAAAAACCCGAAAAAAAGAAAAAGGCCAAAATATCAAAGTGTAAAAAAATTAAAAAATCATAAAACCCGAGAATTTAAAAAATACAAAAAATCTAAAAAAAAAATCGAGAAGTTCCCAAAAATCCAAAATAATCAGAATATGAAAAAACAAAACAAATTTTTTACAAATAATCAAAAAAAAAATACAAATAATCAAAAAAAATTGAGTAAATCCAAAAAAAATCCAATAAAGGAAAAACCCAAAAAGCCAAAAAAATAAAAAATCAAAAGAATCCAAAAACCCAAAAAATCGAAGGAATCTAAAAAACCCAAAAATCTCAAGAAAAATATGAAAAATTCAGAAAAATCCAAAAATCCGAAAAAGCCAAAGTATCGAAGGAACAAGAAAATTGAAAAATCAAAAACCGAAGAATTGAAAAACTAAAAAGACTAAAAAAAACAAAAAACACAGGAACTCCAATAATTCTAAAACTCTAGAGAATCGAAAAGCTCCCAAAAATAAAAAAGATCAGAAAATATAAAAACAAAAAAAATTAAATTTTTCAAATGATCGAAAAAATGGAATATATCCAAAAAAATTGAATTAAAGAAAATACCTAAAAAATTGAAACAATAAAAAAATACAGAAAACCAAAAAAACCGAAGAAATCTAAAAAATCCAAGAATCTCAAGCAAAGTATGAAAAATCCGAAAATTTCAAAAAAAAAGTTGAAAAACCCGAAAAAAACCAAAAAGCTCAAAATATCAAAGTATAAAAAAAAAATAAAAAATCATAAAACTGGAGAATTTAAGAAGAAAACAAAAAAACTAAAAAAATATTCTAGAAGTTCCCAAAAATCCAAAATAATCAGAATATAAAAAACAAAACAAAAAATTTTACAAATAATCAAAAAAATGGTATAAATACAAAAAAAAAAACAATAAAGGAAAGACCCAGAAAGCCTAAAAATGAAAAAATCAAAAGAATCCAAAAAACCAAAAAATCGAAGGAATCTAAAAAACCCAAGAATCTCAAGAAAAATACAAATTCAAAAAAATTCGAAAAATCCGAAAAAGCCAAAAAAGCCAAAATATCGAAGGATCAAGAAAATTGAAACAGAACAGAAAAATTAAACAACCAAAAATATCTAAAAAAAAACAAGAAACTCAAAAAAACCCAAGAACTCCAATAATTCTAAAAATCTAGAGAATTCAAAAGTTTCCAAAAATAAAAAAAATCAGAAAATATAAAAACAAAAAAAAACAATTTAACAATTGATCGAAAAAATGGAAAATATCCAAAAAAATCCAATAAAAGAAAATACCTAAAAAATTTAAACAATAAAAAAATACAGAAAACCAAACTGAAGAAACCTAAAAAACCCAAGAATCTCAAGAAAAATAAGAAAAATTCGAAAATTTCGAAAAAAAAGGCCAAAAAAGCCGAAAAATCAAAAAGGCCAAAATATCAAAGTATAAAAAAATTAAAAAATCATAAAACCCGAGAATTTAAAAAATACAAAAATCTAAAAAAAAATCGAGAAGTTCCCAAAAATCCAAAATAATCAGAATATAAGAAAACAAAACAAAATTTTTTACAAATAATCAAAAAAATAGAATAAATCCAAAAAAAATCCAATAGAGGAAAAACCCAAAAAGCCTAAAAAATTAAAAAATCAAAAGAATTCAAAAAACCAAAAAAATCGAAGGAACCTAAAAAACCCAAGAATCTTAAGAAAAATATGAAAAATTCAGAAAAATTCGAAAAATCCGAAAAAGCCAAAATATCCAAGGATCAAAAAAATTAAAAAATCGAAAATCCGAAAAATTAAAAAACTAAGAACGTAAATAAAAACAAGAAACTTAAAAAAATTCAAAAATCCAATACTTCCAAAAATCTAGAGAATCGAAAAGTCCCCAAAAATAAAAAAAAAACAGAAAATATAAAAACAAAAAAAAACTACAAATGATCGAAAAAATGAGATATGTCCAAAAAAAATCCAATAAAAGAAAATACCTAAAAAGTTTAAACAATAAAAAAAATACAGAAAACCAAAAAAAAAACCGAAGGTCTCTAAAAAACCCAAGAATTTCAAGACAAATATGAAAAATCCGAAAATTTCGAAAAAAAAGCCGAAAAATCCAAAAAAAACCAAAAAGGACAAAATATCAAAGTATAAAAAAATAATCATAAAACTGGAGAATTTAAGAAGAAAACTAAAAATTAAAAAAAAAATTCGAGAAGTTCCCAAAAATCCAAAATAATCGGAATATAAAAACAAACCAAAAAATTTTACAAATAATCAAAAAAATGGAATAAATTCAAAAAAATCCAATAAAGGAAAAACCCAAAAGGCCTAAAAAATTAAAAAATCGAAAGAATCCAAAAAACCAAAAAATCGAAGGAATCTAAAACACCGGAGAATATCAAGGAAAATATAAAACATTCAAAAAAGCCAAAAAAGCCAAAATATCGAAGGATCAAGAAAATTGAAAAATCGAAAAACCGAAGAATTAAACAACCAAAAAAATTAAAGAAAAAACAAGGAACTCAAAAAACACAAGAACTCCAATATTTCCAAAAATCTAGAGAATCTAAAAGTGCCCAAAAATAAAAAAAAAGTCAGAAAATATAAAAACAAAAAAAAGGAATATATCCAAAAAAATTCAATAAAAGAAAATACCTAAAAAATTTAAATAGTAAAAAAAAACACAGAAAACCAAAAAAACCGAAGAAATCTAAAAAACCCAAGAATCGCAAGAAAAACATAAAACATCCGAAAATTTCGAAAAGCCAAAATATCAAAGTATAAAAAATTAAAAAATCATAAAACCGGAGAATTAAAAAAAAAGAAAAAAATAAAAAAAAATCGAGAAGTTCCCAAAAGTCCAAAATAATCAGAATATAAAATACAAAACGAAAACTTTTACAAATAATAACAAAAATTGAATAAAACCAAAAAATCCAATAATAGAGAAAACACTAAAATCAGAGAAATTAAAACAATCAAAAGAATCCAAAAAACCAAACTCTCAAGAAAAATGCCATCCAAAAAATCACAAAAATCCGAAAAACCAAAATATCCAAGAAACAAAAAAATTAAAAAATTAAAAACCCGAACAATTAAAGAAACCAAAAACTCTACACAAAAAAATTAAGAAACTCGAAGAAACTCAAGAACTATAATAATTCCAAAAATCCAAAGAATAGAAAAGTTCCCTATAATCCAAAAAATCAGATTATAAAAAATAAAAATTTTACAAATAATAAAAACATAGAGTAAATCCAAAAAAATCCAATAAAAGAAAAACCCCAAATGCCTAAAAAATTTAAATAATCAAAAAATTCAAAAAATCTGAAAATTCCGCAGACATCCAAAAACCCTAGACTTTCAAGAAAAAAATCGAAAAATCCGAAAAATCGGAAGAATTATGAGAAACTAAGGAATCCGAAAGATCCAAAAAATTCGAAGAATCCGAAAAATCCGAAAAAGCCAAAAAAGCGAAAATATCGAAGTATAAAAAAGATAAAAAAAAGTTATAAAACTGGAGAATTTAAGGAAAAAACAAAACATTTTAAGAAATCGAGAAGTTCTCAAAAATCCAAAACAAAAAATTTTACAAATAATCAAAAAAATGGAGTAAATCCAAAAAAAATCCAATAAAGGAAAAACCTAGAAAGCCTAAAAAATTAAAAAAATCAAAAGAATCCAAAAAACCAAAAAATTGAAGGAATCTAAAAAACCCAAGACTAAAGAAAAATGTGACATCCAAAAAATCACAAAAATCCGAAAAAAACAAAATATCGAAGAATCAAAAAAATTAAAAAATCAAAAATCCGAACAATTAAAACAACCAAAAAAGCTACACAAAAAAAAACAAGAAACTCAAGAACTCCAATAATTCCAAAAATTCAAAAATGTAAAAGTTCCCAATTATCCAAAAGAACAGATTACAAAAAATAAAAAATTTACAAATAAAGAAAAAATAGAACAAATCCAAAAAAAAACCAATAAAAGATATTTAAATAATCCAAAAATTCAAAAAAGCTGAAAACTCCGCGGAGACATCCAAAAAACGCTAGACTTTCAAGAAAGATTCGAAAAACCCGAAAAATCCGAAAGATTCGAAGAATTCGAAAAATCCGAAGAATTAAGAAACAAAGAATCCTGAAAAGTTCCCAAAAATACGAAAAATCAGAATATAAAAAAGAAAAAAAAATGGAATAGATCCAAAAAAATAATAAAAGAAAAAACCCAAAAAGGCTAAAAAATCCATATTTCCTTAAAAAATTGACTAATTTAAGCCTGTTTTAAGTGTCTAAGGATAAAAAAATCATCACAATTGAGATTGGGTTGGTGGGCGGGGTTTACATTTTACCTTTTAATAATAAGTTCGCGTAACGAGCGAGACGTGGTGACCATATTTAACATAAAATAGCCATCGTCGGTAATTGTACATTTGTAAAAGCAGGATTTAGAATATTTATGATGACAGATAACACATACGAACCTATGATTACAAAAAACATACATCAAATAGATAACCCGTCGAGTATATAAATTGTACCATCTCAACGTGGCCATTCAAAATGACAACCATATTAGCTACTTTAACGTTTGGTTTAATTTTGGCCACTAGTGCCATAAATCCAAAAAACAACGCTTGTCCTAAGTTCAACCAGTACCCTCTGGCAACTTTGAACCCCAAATGCTACGTAAACCCTGACGTTTTTTCGGATGTTGTAGGACGAAAATAGTCATCATTGTACCACGCTGTCGTACTAATATAATTTTATTTTAGGTTCAAGTGGTCACAAGAAACGGGTACAATGTTAAGACACATAGCGTTGTAACCGACGACGGGTACATTCTGACTTTGTTTGAAATCTGGGGTAAATTTAAGAATGAAAGCAAGAACTTCACGGTTTTTTTGCAACATGGACTTTTGGTACATTCGGGGGTTTGGGTTATCACAGGTCGTCGGTCTCTTGGTACGTCGGACTTGTCTAGTTATAAGTTTGACTAGGTTTTATGGTTGTTCCAGCATTTTATTTAGCCGATCTTGGGTACAAAGTTTGGTTGGGGAATATAAGAGGGACTTTGTACTCGCAGAAGCACGTCAATTTGACAGTCAACGATCCGAAATATTGGAACTTCACGTAAATATTATATAAATTTTTCCCCGTTTTTGGATTTTTGATTTTAGTTTGGATACGGTGGCGGCGAAAGACATCAAAACCCAGCTGCGTTTCGTAGCTAAGACCAGTGGGCTGAAAATTCATTACATAGGGTACTCGATGGGTACTACCATTGGTTTGATGTTTCTGGCGTCTTCTGGCCAAGAAGACACCAAATCGCTTCAGTCAGCGTCGCTGTTCGCTCCTGTTGCCTATTTAAATAATATCATAGCACTTCAGTTGATTGAAACGCCGGGTTATCTATTCACAGTGAGTTAAAAATAAAATAAAGTGAGTAATTTCGAATTTACTTTTTTTTCAGAAAATGTTGACGCTCTTGAATATTACGGGACTATTTTACCAGGAAAAGTTGATTCACAGGGTTCTAGTTAGTGTCTGCAAGCGAATCCCCAACGTGTGCTTTGAACTTCTAATAGAGGGAATTTTTGGAAAAAGCACACATTTTTCTAGTGTATCTATATTTATTTCGCAGTTAATTTAAACATAATTGAGTTAAATTTCCAGACCGACCTTCTGTTGTACTTCGGTTACTGGCCAGGTGGAGTTTCCGTTAACCAAATTCAACACTACCTACAACTCATCAAGTCTAGAAAATTTCAAAAATTTGATTATGGTCCCACGGAAAATTTAAAGGAATATGGGACCGAAAATCCCCCTACTTATAATTTATCACGGATAAAATTACCAGTTTGTTTGTTTTATGGAGAAAACGACGCTTTTTACAAAAAAGAGGTCAGCTTTCGTAAAAAAGCTCAACTGAATAAGTTTTCAATTTTTTTAGAATCTGGAGAGACTGTACAACGAACTTGGTAGCTCCCAAAAATGCAAATACCCAATCCCTGATCAAACACGTGATTACGACCACGTGGATTTCTTGTTCGCGAATTCGATTCGCACGGACCTTTATCCAATCCTAACCGAGACTCTTGCAGATGTTGAAACGAAATAAAACATAAATAGTAAATAATGTAGACTTATCAATAGAGAGCGGATTTATAATTATAATAATAATTTTTTTGGAATTATTGGAGTTCTTGTGTTTTTTGAATTTCTTGTTTTTTAGAGTTTTTGTTTTCTCTTAAATTCTGCGGTTTTATTATTTTTTATTTTTTTTATCCTTTGATATTTTGGCCTTCTTGGTGTTTTCATATTTTTCTTGAGATTCTTCGATTTTTTGGTTTTTGTATTTTTTTGTAGTTTACAAAATTTTTTAGACTTTTTGGGTTTTTTCTTTTATTGGATTGTTTTGGATTTATTCCATTTTTCCGATTAATTGCATAATAAATTTTTATTTTTTTTGCTTCTTTATGTTCTGATTTTTCGTATTTTTGGGAACTTTTCGATTCTTTGGATGTTTCTTCATCTTGGATTTTTTGTTTTTTCAAATTCTTCTGTTTTTTGATTTTTTAAATTTTTTATCCTTCGATATTTTGCGTTTTTCGGATTTTTCGGATTTTCATTGAGATGCTAGGGATTTTTTTTAAATTTTTTTGATTGTTTAAATTGCTTAGACTTCTGGAGTTTTTCTTTTATTTGGAATGGATTTTTTTGGATTTATTCCATTTTTTCGATTATTTTTAAAATTTTTATAGGAGTAACTTTTTGGTTTTTTTTTATATTCTGAATTTATTGTATTTTGGATTATTGGGAACTTGTTTTTTTGTGTAGATTTTTTGTTTTTTTTTAATTCTTCGGTTTTCTGATTTTTTAATTTTTGATCCTTCGATATTTTGACTTTTTCCAGATTCTTCGGGTTTTTGGTTTTTTTGGATTTGTGGGATTTATCAGTTTTTCGAATTTTTCGGATTTTTTTGAATTTTTCGGATTTTTCTTCAGATTCTTGGGTTTTTGGATTTCCTTGGTTTTTTGGGTTTTTGAATTGTTTTGATCGTTTCAATTTTTTAGATTTTTTAGGTTTTTTCTTTTATTGTTTTTTTTTAGATTTCTTCCATTTTTTTTCCTCATTTCATTTGGCTTCTTTTTTTTATGATGATTTTTCGTATTTTTGGAAGCTTTTCTCTTTTTTTACATTTATTTTGTTTTTTTCTATTCTACGGTTTTTGATTTTTTTTATCCTTCCATTTTGGCTTTTTCTGATTTTTCGGATTCTTAGAATTTTTTGGATTTTTCGGACTTTTCTGAATTTTCCGATTTTTTCCTGAGATTCAAGGGTTTTCTAAAAAATGTCTTCGGAATTTTTAGCTTTTATTCTTTAATTTCTTCCTTCAGCCACTCTGTTTAAACCGTGGGTATAATGCAAGTAGAGTGAATTAAATTGGGTTACAATATTTTTAGATTATTCCCTGCTTTCAACATATAACGAGCTGCATCCGAGATCATCAATAAAATTTTATTGGCAAAAATAGTGACGTAAGACTGTCATTTAGAAATCTGGTAATCGTATTACCATTTGTTTTATCTAACATTTTCAAACTTACTACATACCCTCGACTAGGGAAATTTTCATTTAAGATTCCAACAATTAAACTTGCCACGTATCTTCCACAACTATCGGTTGTTTCATCGACAACGAACCATAAATAATTTTCAGGTTTTTTCCAATTTTTCGGATTTTTGTGATTTTTTGGATTGATCATATTTTTCTTGAGTTTCTTGGGCTTTTTGGATTTATTCGTTTTTCTTTGCTTTTTTTTTTTATTTTTTTTATTGTTTACATTTTTTAGATCTTTTGGGTTTTTTCTTTTATTGGATTTTTTTTTGGTTTTATTTTTTTTGTTTGTAAAATATTTTTGTGTTGTTTTTTAAATCATGATTATTTCGGATTTTTGAGAACTTCTTGATTCCTTGGTTTTTTTGGAATTATTGGAGTTCTTGTGTTTTTTGAATTTCTTGTTTTTTAGAGTTTTTGTTTTCTCTTAAATTCTGCGGTTTTATTATTTTTTATTTTTTTTATCCTTTGATATTTTGGCCTTCTTGGTGTTTTCATATTTTTCTTGAGATTCTTCGATTTTTTGGTTTTTGAATTTTTTTTGTAGTTTACAAAATTTTTTAGACTTTTTGGGTTTTTTCTTTTATTGGATTGTTTTGGATTTATTCCATTTTTCCGATTAATTGCATAATAAATTTTTATTTTTTTTGCTTTATGTTCTGATTTTTCGTATTTTTGGGAACTTTTCGATTCTTTGGATGTTTCTTCATCTTGGATTTTTTGTTTTTTCAAATTCTTCTGTTTTTTGATTTTTTAAATTTTTTATCCTTCGAAATTTTGCGTTTTTCGGATTTTTCGGATTTTCCTTGAGATGTTAGGGATTTTTTTTTAATTTTTTTGATTGTTTAAATTGCTTAGACTTCTGGAGTTTTTCTTTTATTTGGAATGGATTTTTTTGGATTTATTCCATTTTTTCGATTATTTTTAAAATTTTTATAGGAGTAACTTTTTTGTTTTTTTTTATATTGTGAATTTATTGTATTTTGGATTATTGGGAACTTGTTTTTTTTTGTGTAGATTTTTTGTTTTTTTTTAATTCTTCGGTTTTCTGATTTTTTAATTTTTGATCCTTCGATATTTTGACTTTTTCCAGATTCTTCGGGTTTTTGGATTTTTTGGATTTGTGGGATTTTTCAGTTTTTCGAAATTTTCGGATTTTTCTTGAGATTCCTGGGTTTTTGGAATTCCTTGGTTTTTTGGGTTTTTGAATTGTTTTTATCGTTTCAATTTTTTAGATTTTTTAGGTTTTTTCTTTTATTGTTTTTTTTTTTAGATTTCTTCCATTTTTTTTCCTCATTTCATTTGGCTTCTTTTTTTTATGATGATTTTTCGTATTTTTGGAAGCTTTTCTCTTTTTTTACATTTATTTTGTTTTTTTCTATTCTACGGTTTTTGATTTTTTTTATCCTTCCATTTTGGCTTTTTCTGATTTTTCGGATTCTTAGAATTTTTTGGATTTTTCGGACTTTTCGGAATTTTCCGATTTTTTCCTGAGATTCAAGGGTTTTCTAAAAAATGTCTTTGGAATTTTTTTTTTATTCTTTAATTTCTTCCTTCAGCCACTCTGTTTAAACCGTGGGTATAATGCAAGTAGAGGAATTAAATTGGGTTACAATATTTTTAGATTAATCCCTGCTTTCAACATATAACGAGCTGCATCCGAGATCATCAATAAAATTTTATTGGCAAAAATAGTGACGTAAGACTGTCATTTACAAATCTGGTAATCGTATTGCCATTTGTTTTATCTAACATTTTCAGACTTACTACATACCCTAGACAAGGGAAATTTTCATTTAAGATTCCAACAATTAAACTTGTCAAGTATCTTCCACAACTATCGATTGTTTCATCGACAGCGAACCATAAATAATTTTCAGTTTTTTTCCATTTTTTCGGATTTTTGTGATTTTTTGGATTGATCATATTTTTCTTGAGTTTCTTGGGCTTTTTGGATTTCTTCGTTTTTCTTTGCTTTTTTTTTATTTTTTTTATTGTTTACATTTTTTAGATCTTTTGGGTTTTTTCTTTTATTGGATTTTTTTTTGGTTTTATTTTTTTGTTTGTAAAATATTTTTGTGTTGTTTTTTATATCATGATTATTTTGGATTTTTGGGAACTTCTTGATTCCTTGGTTTTTTTGGAATTATTGGAGTTCTTGTGTTTTTTGAATTTCTTGTTTTTTAGAGTTTTTGTTTTCTCTTAAATTCTGCGGTTTTATTATTTTTTATTTTTTTTATCCTTTGATATTTTGGCCTTCTTGGTGTTTTCATATTTTTCTTGAGATTCTTCGATTTTTTGGTTTTTGTATTTTTTTTGTAGTTTACAAAATTTTTTAGACTTTTTGGGTTTTTTCTTTTATTGGATTGTTTTGGATTTATTCCATTTTTCCGATTAATTGCATAATAAATTTTTATTTTTTTTGCTTCTTTATGTTCTGATTTTTCGTATTTTTGGGAACTTTTCGATTCTTTGGATGTTTCTTCATCTTGGATTTTTTGTTTTTTCAAATTCTTCTGTTTTTTGATTTTTTAAATTTTTTATCCTTCGAAATTTTGCGTTTTTCGGATTTTTCGGATTTTCCTTGAGATGTTAGGGATTTTTTTTAAATTTTTTTGATTGTTTAAATTGCTTAGACTTCTGGAGTTTTTCTTTAATTTGGAATGGATTTTTTTGGATTTATTCCATTTTTTCGATTATTTTTAAAATTTTTATAGGAGTAACTTTTTGTTTTTTTTTATATTCTGAATTTATTGTATTTTGGATTATTGGGAACTTGTTTTTTTTTGTGTAGATTTTTTGTTTTTTTTTAATTCTTCGGTTTTCTGATTTTTTAATTTTTGATCCTTCGATATTTTGACTTTTTCCAGATTCTTCGGGTTTTTGGATTTTTTGGATTTGTGGAATTTATCAGTTTTTCAAATTTTTCGGATTTTTTTGAATTTTTCGGATTTTTCTTGAGATTCTTGTGTTTTTGGATTTCCATGGTTTTTGGGGTTTTTGAATTGTTTTGATCGTTTCAATTTTTTAGATTTTTTAGGTTTTTTCTTTTATTGTTTTTTTTTAGATTTCTTCCATTTTTTTTTCCTCATTTCATTTGGCTTCTTTTTTTTATGATGATTTTTCGTATTTTTGGAAGCTTTTCTCTTTTTTTACATTTATTTTGTTTTTTTCTATTCTACGGTTTTTGATTTTTTTTATCCTTCCATTTTGGCTTTTTCTGATTTTTCGGATTCTTAGAATTTTTTGGTATTTTCGGACTTTTCGGAATTTTCCGATTTTTTCCTGAGATTCAAGGGTTTTCTAAAAAATGTCTTCGGAATTTTTAGTTTTTATTCTTTAATTTCTTCCTTCAGCCACTCTGTTTAAACCGTGGGTATAATGCAAGTAGAGTGAATTAAATTGGGTTACAATATTTTTAGATTATTCCCTGCTTTCAACATATAACGAGCTGCATCCGAGATCATCAATAAAATTTTATTGGCAAAAATAGTGACGTAAGACTGTCATTTACAAATCTGGTAATCGTATTGCCATTTGTTTTATCTAACATTTTCAAACTTACTACATACCCTCGACTAGGGAAATTTTCATTTAAGATTCCAACAATTAAAATTGCCACGTATCTTCCACAACTATCGGTTGTTTCATCGACAACGAACCATAAATAATTTTCAGGTTTTTTCCAATTTTTCGGATTTTTGTGATTTTTTGGATTGATCATATTTTTCTTGAGTTTCTTGGGCTTTTTGGATTTATTCGTTTTTTTTTGCTTTTTTTTTATTTTTTTATTGTTTACATTTTTTAAATGTTTTGGGTTTTTTCTTTTATTGGATTTTTTTTTGGTTTTATTTTTTTTGTTTGTAAAATATTTTTGTGTTGTTTTTTAAATCATGATTATTTCGGATTTTTGAGAACTTCTTGATTCCTTGGTTTTTTTGGAATTATTGGAGTTCTTGTGTTTTTTGAATTTCTTGTTTTTTAGAGTTTTTGTTTTCTCTTAAATTCTGTGGTTTTATTATTTTTTATTTTTTTTATCCTTTGATATTTTGGCCTTCTTGGTGTTTTCATATTTTTCTTGAGATTCTTCGATTTTTTGGTTTTTGTATTTTTTTTGTAGTTTACAAAATTTTTTAGACTTTTTGGGTTTTTTCTTTTATTGGATTGTTTTGGATTTATTCCATTTTTCCGATTAATTGCATAATAAATTTTTATTTTTTTTGCTTCTTTATGTTCTGATTTTTCGTATTTTTGGGAACTTTTCGATTCTTTGGATGTTTCTTCATCTTGGATTTTTTGTTTTTTCAAATTCTTCTGTTTTTTGATTTTTTAAATTTTTTATCCTTCGATATTTTGCGTTTTTCGGATTTTCGGATTTTCCTTGAGATGCTAGGGATTTTTTTTTAATTTTTTTGATTGTTTAAATTGCTTAGACTTCTGGAGTTTTTCTTTTATTTGGAATGGATTTTTTTGGATTTATTCCATTTTTTCGATTATTTTTAAAATTTTTATAGGAGTAACTTTTTTGTTTTTTTTATGTTCTGAATTTATTGTATTTTGGATTATTGGGAACTTGTTTTTTTTGTGTAGATTTTTTGTTTTTTTTTTAATTCTTCGGTTTTCTGATTTTTTAATTTTTGATCCTTCGATATTTTGACTTTTTCCAGATTCTTCGGGTTTTTGGATTTTTTGGATTTGTGGGATTTATCAGTTTTTCGAATTTTTCGGATTTTTTTGAATTTCTCGGATTTTTCTTGAGATTCTCGGGTTTTTGGATTTCCTTGGTTTTTTGGGTTTTTGAATTGTTTTGATCGTTTCAATTTTTTAGATTTTTTAGGTTTTTTCTTTTATTGTTTTTTTTTAGATTTCTTCCATTTTTTTCCTCATTTCATTTGGCTTCTTTTTTTATGATGATTTTTCGTATTTTTGGAAGCTTTTCTCTTTTTTTACATTTATTTTGTTTTTTTTCCTGAGATTCAAGGGTTTTCTAAAAAATGTGTCAAATGACTCCAAATTGTATCATAGTTACAGATATAAAAAAGTTTTGAAGTGCTTACATTTTTCACAAAAACATTAAACCTAGAAATCCGCTCTCTACTTATCAACGTGTTGCGATAACTTTAAAAGCATGCAACATAAACATAAATAACTATGGCATTTTCAAGCAAATGCGTTTGACACTAATAATAATAATTTTACGAACTCAAAGTCGTTGTAGTGACACGAAAATTTTGTGGCTGGTTGACGTGTCAATAAAATGGGAACAGTGTTTGTGGTTTTCACTTTTTTTTGTGTCGTTTCGGCCATAAATATCAAAAACAACGCCTGTCCTAGCTTGTTCCTGTACCCCGTTGCGGGATTTAGTTCCAAATGTTACGTAAATCCTGATGTTTCTTCGAATGTTGTACGAAGTCGGATGGTTAGTGTGTCTGGAATAACGTGTTTGTTTTCAGGGTGAAATGGTCAAGAGACGTGGGTACGATATAGTGACCCATACAGTTGTGACCCATGATGGGTACATTCTAAATTTGTTTGAAATTTTTAATGCCACTCAAGAAAATAAAAATTTCACGGTTTTTATACAACACGGGATTTTGGTTAACTCTGGGGTTTGGGTTAACGGGGGTCCGCGCTCTCTTGGTACGTCCGATTTTGAACCAAATGGGTGCTAATTTGGTGATTTGTAGCGTTTTATTTCGCCGATCTTGGGTACCGAGTTTGGTTGGGGAATGTGCGAGGGACGTTGTACTCGAACAAACACGTAAATCTGACAATCAATGACCCAAAATTTTGGGACTTTAAGTAAATTCCTGATAAATATATTTTTCTTTTTTTTTTTTAATTGTTTCCAGTTTGGATACTCTGGCAGCAGTCGATATCAGAACCATGTTAACCTTCATTGCTAAAACCACCAGACAAAAAATACATTATATAGGTCATTCAATGGGAACCACTGTGGGGTTGATGTTTCTGGCTTCCTCTGGACAAGAAGGTGCCAAATTGCTTCAATCAGTATCGCTGATGTCCCCTGTCGTTTATATAAATAATCTCAAAAAACTTGAACCATCTATAATACCAGCTTATCTAACCGGGGTGATTTAAAACCAGTTCAACTCAAATTCTCATTTTTTTTTTTTAGAAAATTTTCAACCTCTTCCACGTCAACGGTTTTCTCTACCACGAAAACGCGGTTCACCGAATTTTTACAAGCATTTGCAAGTTGATCCCCCATGTGTGCTACCAACTATTGATAACCGTGGGTTTTGGGAAAACCACGCACTTTTCCAGCGTAACAATTTTACTACTTGACTAATTTCACGAACTGCTCACTCCAATCTTACAGGACGACCTTCTGCTCTATTTTAATAATTGGCCGGGCGGAATTTCCTTCTACCAAATTCAGCATTACGTACAAATCATGAACTCCAAAATGTTTCAGAAATTCGATTATGGGGCTGCGCGAAATTTGCAGGAGTATGGAAGCGAAAAGCCTCCAGTTTACGATTTGTCGAAAATTAAATTGCCGGTGTGTTTGTTTTATGGAAAGAATGATGTTTATTACGGGGAGGAGGTTTGCAGGTTTTTTAAATCGAGGTAGTATGGATTGTTTTTGTACTTTTTAGAATATCGACAGATTGTATGGGGAAATTGGTAGCAATCATAAATGTAGATACTCGATTCCTGTTGGTCAACGGGATTATTATAACCACATTGACTTCATGTTCGGGAATTCTCTTCGCGAGGATGTTTATCCGATCCTTGCTGAGACGCTGACTAATGCTGAAATGTAATAAAATAAAATAGATAATTTTATACATTTGGCTGGAAAAATTGCAGTTATTTTTATTGATTGTGATAAGTCGGTGGACGTTTAACATTTACAGACAGCTCGGTTGTGATAAGCTTGTTCAACGTTGATTAGATCAGGTCAGATGAAAATTAATTTCCTCGGATTTTTGTAATTTTGGGTTTTTTGATTTTTTTCATTCTTTGGATAATTGCATATGCTTGATTTTTTGGATTTTTGGAATGATTGGATTTCTGCAGATTTTTGGGTTTTTGTGGATTTATTCGGTTTTTATGGTGTTTTGGGATTTTTTGATTGTTTAAATTTTTTTGGGGTCTTTTTCCGTTATTGGATTTTTTTGGATTTATTCCATTTTTTCGATTATTTGTAAAATTTTTATTTTTTTTTTGTTTATTTATATTCTGATTTTCTGAATTATTGGGAATTTTTCGAATCTTTGGATTTTTGTAATTATTGGAGTTCTTGAGTTTTTGAGTTTCTTGGATTTTTTTTGGATTTTTTGCTTTTTTTAATTCTTCGATTTTTTGATTTTTTAAATTTTTTGATCCTACGATATTTTGACTTTTCCGGATTCTTCGAATTCTTTGGATTTTTGGGATTTTTGGGATTCTTCGGATTCTTTGGATTTTTCGGATTTTTTGTCTTTGGAATTTTTCAGTTTTTTCGAATTTTTCGGATTTTTTTGGATTTTTCGGATTTTTTTAAATTTTTTTGATTGTTGAAATTGTTTAGACTCCTGAAGTTTTTCTTTTGTTTGGAATGGAGTTTTTGGGGTTTATTCCATTTTTTCGATTCTTTGTAAAATTTTTATTATTTTGTTTTGTCTTTTTATATTCTGAATTTAATATATTTAATTTTTTGATCCTTCGATATTTTGGCTTTTCCGGATTCTTCGGATTTTTCGGATCCTTGAATTTTTGGATTTTTTGGATTTTTCGGATTTTTCGGTTTTTTCGAATTTCTCGGATTTTTTGAATTTTTCGGATTTTTCTCGAGATTCATGGCTTTTTGGATTTCCTTGGTTTTTTAGGGTTTTGAATTGTTTTGATTGCTTCAATTTTTTAGACTTTTTAGTTTTTTTCTTTTATTGAATTTTTTTTGATTTTCCATTTTTCTTTTTTCATTTCATTTTGCTGCTTTATATTCTGATTGTTTTATTTGGATGTCTCTTTTTTACATTTTTTTGTTTTTTTTTTAATTCTTCGGTTTTTGATTTTTTGATTTTTTATCCTTCGATTTTGGCTTTTTCTGATTTTTCGAATTCTTCAGTTTTTACGATTTTTCGGATTGTTCGGACTTTTCAGAATTTTCCGATTTTTCCTGAGATTCAAGGGTTTCTTGAATGTCTTCGGAATTTTTAGTTTTTAAATTTTTTTTTTATTGTTTAATTTCTTTAATCATTTAGGGTTTTCCTTTTATTGGATTTTTTTTGAATTTATTTTAATTTTGAATTAATTTTTTTTATTGAATGTTTTTGGTTTTATTCCATTTTTTTGATTATTTGTAAAATTTTTACTTTTATTTGTTTATTTATATTCTGATTTTCTGGATTATTGGGAATTTTTCGAATCTTTGGATTTTTGGAATTATTGGAGTTCTTGAGTTTTTGAGTCTTGGATTGTTTTTAGATTTTTTAAATTTTTTGATCCTTCGATATTTTGACTTTTCCGGATTCTTCGGATTCTTTAGATTTTTCAGATTTTTGGGATTCTTCGGATTGTTTGGATTTTTCGGATTTTTTGGATCTTTCGGATTTCTCAGTTTTTTCGAATTTTTCGGATTTTTGTGATTTTTGGATTTATCATATTTTCCTAGAGATTCTTGGGTTTGAAGAATTTCTTCGTTTTTTTGTTTTTTTTTTATAGATTTTTTGATTGTTTACAATTGTTAAACTTTTTGGGTTTACTCTTTTATTATTTTTTATATTCCATCGTTTCAATTATTTGTAAATTTTTTCTGATTACTTTTGATTTTTGGGAACTTTTTGATTCCTTGGTTTTTTGGAATTATCGGAGTTCTTGAGTTTTTTGAATTTCTTGTTTTTTTTTCATATTTTTTGTTTTTCTTTAAATTCTCCGGTTTTATATATTTTTTTTATCCTTTGATATTTTGGCCTTTTTGATATTTTCGGATTTTTCTGTTTTTTTCGAATTTTTCGGATTTTTCATATTTTTCTTGAGCTTCTTGGGGTTTTTAGATTTGTTCGGTTTTTGTGGTTTTTTGTATTTTTTTATTGTTTACATTTTTTAGGCTCTTTGTGGTTTTTCTTTTATTGGGTTGTTTGGATTTATTCCATTTTTTTGATTATTTGTAAAATTTTTATTTTTTTACTTATTTATATTCTGATTTTCTGGATTATTGGGAATTTTTCGAATGTTTGAATTTTTGGAATTACCTATTGGAGTTCTTGAGTTTTTGAGTTTCTTGGATTATTTATAGATTTTTTGTTTTTTTTAATCCTCCAGTTTTTTGATTTTTTAAATTTTTTGTTCCTTCGATATTTTGACTTTTCCGGATTCTTCGGATTTTTTGGATTTTGGGATTTTTTGGATTCTTTGGATTTTTCGGATTTTTCGGATTTTTCTGATTTTTGCATTTATCATATTTTCCTTGTTTTCTTCGTTTTTTTCGTTTTTTTTATGAATTTTTTTGATTGTTTACAATTTTTAAACTTTTTGGATTTATTGGAGTTCTCTAGTTTTTTTAATTTTTTGTTTTCATTAGATTTTTTGTTTTTCCTTAAATTCTCCGGTTTTATGATTTTTTTATATTTTTTTTTATCCTTTGATATTTTGGCCTTTTTGGTACTTTCGGATTTTTCTGTTTTTTTCAAATTTTTCGGATTTTTCATATTTTTCTTAAGCTTTTTGGGGTTTTTAGATTTGTTCGGTTTTTTTGTTTTTTTTGTATATTTTGTATTGTTTAAATTTTTTAGACATTTTGGGGTTTCTCTTTTATTTAATTTTTTTGGATTTATTCCATTTTTTGATTATTTGTAAAATTTGTATTTTTTTTTGTTTATTTGTAATCTGATTTCCTGGATTATTGGGAATTTTTCGAATCTTTGGATTTTTGGAATTATTGGAGTTCTTGAGTTTTTGAGTTTCTTGGATTGTTTTCAGATTTTTTGTGTTTTTTAATTCTTCGGTTTTTTGAATTTTTAAATTTTTTGATCGTTCGAGATTTTGACTTTTACGGATTCTTCAGATTCTTCGGATTTTTTGGATCTTTCGAATTTCTCAGTTTTTTTCGAATTTTTCGGATTTTTGTGATTTTTGGATTTATCATTTTTTCCTTGCGATTTTTGGGTTTTAAGGATTTCTTCGTATTTTTGTTTTTTATGGATTTTTTTATTGTTTACAATTTTTAAACTTTTTGGGTTTAGTCTTTTGTTGTATTTTTTTTATTCCATTTTTTTAATTATTTGTAAATTTTTTTTCTGATTATTTTTTATTTTTGGGAACTTTTTGATTCCTTGGATGTTTGCAATTATTGAAGATCTTGAGTTTATTTGAGTTTCTTATTTTTTTGGATTTTTTGGTTATTTAATTCTTCGGTTTTTTGATTTTCTTGATCTTTCGATATTTTCGCTTTTTCGAGTTTTCGGATTCTTCGGATTTTTTGGATTTTTTAATTTTTTCGAATTTTTCGAATTTTTCGGATTTTTCAGATGTTTCGGGCTTTTCGGATTTTTCGCATTTTTCATATTTTTCTTAAGATTCTGAGGTTTTTTGTATTCCTTCGGTTTTTTTGTTTGTTTGGATTCTTTTGATTGTTTAAATTTTTCGACTTTTTGGGTTTTTCTTTTGGATGTCTTCTTCGGATTTTACTTTTTTCGAATTTTTCGGATTTTTCGTTTTTCTTGAGATTCTTGGGTTTTTTAGATTATTTCGGTTTTCTGAGTTTTTTGTATTTTTTTGATTGTTTAAATTTTGATTTTTTTCTTTTATTGGATTTTTTCGATGTATTCCATTTTTGCGATTATTTGTATAATTTAATTTTTTTATTTGTATAATTTAATTTTTTTATTTTTTATATTCTAATTTTTTTGATTTTTGGGACCTTTCCAATTCTTAGGATTTTTGGAGTTTTTGGAGTTCTTGAGTTTTCGACTTTCTTGATTCCTTTTAATTCTTCAGTTTTTTAATTTTTTGATATATTAATTTTTTTTGATCCTTCGATATTTTGGCTTTTAGATTCTTTTGATTCTTCGGATATTTTGGATTTTCCAATTTTTTAGATTTTTCGGATTTGTCGGATTTTTCGTATTTTTTTAGACTTTTTGGATTTTTTGTACTTACCTGCGTCATCAATTTTTGGGAGGGGGTAATCAGATATTTTAATTAATTATATGTGTACTATGCTTAAAACATTCGCAGATTTCAGTCCATTCATTTTTACAGTTTCAAAGTAAAATTGCAAAATGAAACTCAAAACTCAAAACGTATTCATAAACCACACTAACATTTGAAAGACTCCGTTATCATCGATTAGCTCAGTCCAGACTCATTTTTTAATAGCAATGACTGTTTTACTCGACTCCAGAATTTATTTGACGTAACCAGCCATAGAGGCTATAATCCCATTTGAAAGCGCATCTAGTTCGAATAATTTTAAACGATTTTAACTTCGTTTGAAGGCGCTTACAAACTAAATAATTGACTGTATTTACATCGAAAAACCGATGATTAGTGTCTTGTCTGCTTGAAAATCCATTTCTCTTGTCAGTAGCAAAAAGTTTGTTTGAGCTACTAATTTATTTATAGTTTAAATATCTGCGAACTAATAAACAAATAAACTAAAAAAGTTCTGTGTATTATTTTTAAAGTTAAATTTAAACCGTAAAGCAAAACTGAACATTCTCTTGGCTCAAAACTGCAATTTTGATTAAATCCGCCACTAGAAAACTACAACGTGTTCGCAAAAATTACCATCCCCGAGTCGCTTTCTTCGTTTTCTTAATCTTAATTGTCCCTATCGAGCCAATCTTTTCCAACTTCTTCGCGAGAAATCCGACTTTATATCTCGGGAGCATTTCTCATAACGCTTATGCAGGTGGTGCAAGCTGCAAAATGAACCGTTTTACTAGCGGCGTACGCCCGGATTTTATCACTAAAGACAACGACTTTATCAACGTTTACAGACGACCTACATTCTTAAAGGACGTTGCACCAGTTGGCTGAAAAACCGGCGTCAATTTTCGTTTTTAGCGCGAATAAAAGCAAAGATTAGCCAATGCGTGCTTTATCGATATTTTTCGACGCGAAAACTGCAATCGTAGTTTCCAGTATTAAAAAAATGTCGGCTGGGATTGTTGGTTTAACAATCCTGGTCTTAATCAAGAGCTGTGTGAGCTTCGATGTGTACAGTAATGCATGCGAAGATTACAGTGATTACGTGATCAGATATTGGAGTCGACGGTGTTATTACAACCCAGACGTGTTGTCAAACACTGTGAGTACCCCTAATACTAATAAAAATATTTTTTTTAATCAAGTTTTTGGTTTAGCCTATGATGATCATCAGGAATGGGTTTCCTCTGGAAAGTTTTACTATCACGACGCAGGATGGGTATATTCTGAGTTTATTTAGAATCCCGACGGGGAATAATAAGTCCAATGGGACGGTTTTTCTAATGCATGGTATATTTTTAAATAATAGTGTGTGGGTTCAACGGGGGAATAAATCATTAGGTGGAGATATTTAACGAAGTGTCTCAGAAAATTTTTAACTAAAATTGCAGCTTTTGAGTTAGTCGAGAAGGGTTATGACGTCTGGTTGGGTAGTACAAGAGGGACTAAATTTGCAGACTCACACCTTCGTTTCAACACGTCTAGTAAAGATTACTGGAATTTTAAGTAAGTCAGTATTTGTAAAATCCTGCTCAAATTTATCCTTTATCCTTTGATTTTAGTTTGGATTCACTGGCTTATTTTGATGTCGGTGCACAACTAAAATTTATAGCCCAAAAAACAAAAAAGCGCATTACGTATATTGGTTTTTCGACGGGATCAACGCTGTCGTTGCTATATTCAGCCGGATATCCTTCAGAATCCAGGACCTTACTATCAGGAATAATAGCAATGGCACCGACTGTATACGTACAGGACATCCAATTATTACGACATTTTAAGGAAATTGTTGCCCCTCTCGAGGTAATTTTACATAAATTAATCGCACAAAAACAAATATACAGGGTGTTCTTTTTTTAGCGAGAATTAGCGAGACTGAAGATGTATGGCGTGTTCCACCAACACTACATTAACAAAGTCCTGGTCCAAATCTGTGCGACGTTGCCACACTTTTGCAAAAAGCTTCTAGAAATGTTCGCCGGAAAGCTCTCGACACAGTTTCTTCCGGTGATAAAAACGCATACAAGCGACCCGAGTGACCGCAGCTTTAATTTCAGGACGAGCTTTTATTGTTTTTTAGTAATTGTCCGAGCGGGACGTCGTTCCAGGTTTTGAAACATTATTTACAAATGGCGGAGTCGGGTGACGTGCATCGCTACAACTACGGCAGAGACAACAATTTAAAATATTACCATCTAAGTGAGCCGAGCAAATATGACATGAGATACGTCAAAATCCCCGCCTACGTGATTTACGGACGAAGCGATATAGTAGCCACTGAAACCGTACGACGTCGTAAGATTTACACTAGTTATTGTTAATTGTTTGCTTTTTAAGAACGTGAAACGTCTATTTGGAGAGCTAGGTAGCACCCGAAAAAGGCTGGTGGGCGTGTCGGACTTCACCCATTTGGATTTCGTCACCGCTAAAAACGTAGACCAACAATTATACAGCGAAATATTCCGAATTTTACAAGAAATATATTAATAGTGGACACGAATCCCGCTGGAATAAAATTCCCCATTAAATTTTATCCTAATGTTTATCACCTTGCGGCAAAGCGTTCGACAATTTCAAGCCATTTGGAAGTTTCATTTCTTTTGTGAGAGCATTTGAATGGCTTTCAAGAAAATAAGCGATCCTTGTAGTTGATTTCCTTCATTTCCTTTCAAGTTTAAAACATCACGTTTTAGAGAGGCAGTCCATCTGCTCGCATTGTAAAACGATCCCGCACTGCTTTAAAATAGAATTTTTTATTCGTTCGTTCGCCGCTTTTAATTTTGATTTGTGCTTTTTAAGGCAAAAGAAACAAACAAGGCGGGGGGGTGATTTTAGGGTTGTTTTCCGTTGGTTGTCGGGGGTGGAGTAATTACAGATGCATTTGTGGAAGTTATTTAGAGCTTTTGTTGCAGGGAAGAACGAAATGTTCTCAATCAGTCGTCGGGGGTGAAAGGGCTTTAAAGCTGTGGGGGTTCGGAAGCCGTTAAAGTTTTATATTTTTCGATGGTTTTAGCCCGATTGATTTTAATTCTCGGACGCAGACGACGGTAATCTGTTGAAATTTATCAAGTTTTTTCGGTGTGGAAGTTGGAGAAGTAAAGCGGATTTGTTCACGTAATTCTAGTTTCTGAGTTTCTAGGTTTTTTGTGTTGGAGTTTGGCGGTGGTTAAATAGATGGGTGAAATCATAGATTAGGATTCTTTTGAAAGATTGACGACGAAAAGAGAAGAGAGAGAAGAAAAATCTTAAAAATTCTAGTGAATTTTGGGTCCGATGTGGCACTGAAATTGAAGAAAACATAGATGAATTTTAAGTTTAAATGGTGACTGAAGTTGGATTAAAGAATTCGAAGATATCAGACTAGAAGAAGCGGATTGATAGAACCATGGATTAGAAGATTTAGGTATAATTTGCGCAAAAGAAGATAAATTGTTTCTCATTTTAAGAAGATTCTAGAATGATTCAATATTAAAAAAAAGAGAAGAAGAAAGTTCTGTATCTTGAAAGAAACAAGATAACGCATGACAATTCCGAAATGTCGTAAAATTATGTTGGGAAACGAAAATTTCAGAGGCATTCAATTTGACATTTGAAGAAGCGAACTGATAGAACATTGGATTAAAAGAGCTAGAGGAACTATTGGGTAAAAGAAGAAAGATCTTAGAAGAATTCTAGTTGTAGAAGAATTTTGGTTTCGAGGCTGACATTGAAGAAAGATGTTTATCAACCCGAAGTCGAGAAGATTATAAAAAAAAATTGTACCAAATGAAGAAAACAGATGAGTTTCAAGTTTAGATGTAGATCGAAGTTGGATTATATGATTCGAAAATAGAAGAAAAATCTTTGAAAAATTCTAGTTATAGAAGAATTTTGGTTTCGATATGGCACTGAAATTGAAAAAAGATGTTTATTAACACAAATTTGAGTAGGTTATAGAAAAATTTTATACCAAATGAAGAAAACAGATGAATTTTAAGTTTTATGTTGACTGAAGTGAAGTATTCGAAGATATTAAACTAGAAGAAGCGGGCTGATAGAACCATATATAATTTGCGCAAGAGAAGAAAGACAATCTGTTTCTTATTCCAAGAAGATTCTAGAAGGATTCTATTAAAAGGAAGGGAAGAAGAGAAGACGAAGTCTTATTTCATACGGAACTGAACTTGAAGGAAAGAAGATAACGCACCACAATTCTGGAATGTTCTAAAATTATTTTCGGAAACGGAAGAACTAGAAGAGGAAATAGAAGATAATGATAGAACGTTGGATTAAAAAAGCTAGAGGAACTATTGAGTAAAAGAAGAAAGATCTTTGAAGAATTCTACTTGTAGAAGAATTTTGGGTTCGGAGTCGATATTGAAGAAAGATGTTTATCAACCTGCATTCGAGAAGATTATAAAAAAAATCTGTACCAAATGAAGAAAACAGATGAGTTTCAAGTTTAGATGTAGATCGAAGTTGGATTATATGATTCGAAAATACAAGAAAAATCTTTGAAAAATTCTAGTTATAGAAGAATTTTGGTTTCGATATGGCACTGAAATTGAAAAAATATGTTTATTAACCCAAATTTGAGTAGGTTATAGAAAAATTTTATATCAAATGAAGAAAACAGATGAATTTTAAGTTTTATGTTGACTGAAGTCAAGTATTCGAAGATATTAAACTAGAAGAAGCGGGCTGATAGAACCATATATAATTTGCGCAAGAGAAGAAAGGCAATCTGTTTCTTATTCCAAGAAGATTCTAGAAGGATTCTATTAAAAGGAAGGGAAGAAGAGAAGACGAAGTCTTATATCATACGGAACTGAACTTGAAGAAAAGAAGATAACGCACCACAATTCTGGAATGTTCTAAAATTATTTTAGGAAACGGAAGAACTAGAAGAGGAAATAGAAGATAATGATAGAACCTTGGATTAAAAAAGCTAGAGGAACTATTGAATAAAAGAAGAAAGATCTTTGAAGAATTCTAGTTGTAGAAGAATGTTGGGTTCGGAGTCGATATTGAAGAAAGATGTTTATCAACCTGCATTCGAGAAGATTATAAAAAAAATCTGTACCAAATGAAGAAAACAGCTGAGTTTCAAGTTTAGATGTAGATCGAAGTTGGATTACATGATTCGAAAATAGAAGAAAAATCTTTGAAAAATTCTAGTTATAGAAGAATTTTGGTTTCGATATGGAACTGAAATTGAAAAAAGATGTTTATTAACCCAAATTTGAGTAGGTTATAGAAAAATTTTATATCAAATGAAGAAAACAGATGAATTTTAAGTTTAATGTTGACTGAAGTCAAGTATTCGAAGATATTAAACTAGAAGAAGCGGGCTGATAGAACCATATATAATTTGCGCAAGAGAAGAAAGACAATCTGTTTCTTATTTCAAGAAGATTCTAGAAGGATTCTATTAAAAGGAAGGGAAGAAGAGAAGACGAAGTCCTATATCATACGGAACTGAACTTGAAGGAAAGAAGATAACGCACCACAATTCTGGAATATTATAAATTTATGTTAGGAAACGGAAGAACTAGAATAAGAGATAGAAGATAATGATAGAACCTTGGATTAAAAAAGCTAGAGGAACTATTGAGTAAAAGAAGAAAGATCTTTGAAGAATTCTAGTTGTAGAAGAATTTTGGGTTCGGAGTCGATATTGAAGAAAGATGTTTATCAACCTGAATTCGAGAAGATTATAAAAAAAATCTGTACCAAATGAAGAAAACAGATGAGTTTCAAGTTTATATGTAGATCGAACTTGGATTATATGATTCGAAAATAGAAGAAAAATCTTTGAGAAATTCTAGATATAGAAAAATTTTGGTTTCGATATGGCACTGAAATTGAAAAAAGATGTTTATTAACCCAAATTTGAGTAAGTTATAGAAAAAGTTTATATCAAATGAAGAAAACAGATGAATTTTAAGTTTAATATTGACTGAAATCAAGTATTCGAAGATATTAAACTAGAAGAAGCGGGCTGATAGAACCATATATAATTTGCGCAAGAGAAGAAAGACAATCTGTTTCTTATTCCAAGAAGATTCTAGAAGGATTCTATTAAAAGGAAGGGAAGAAGAGAAGACGAAGTCTTATTTCATACGGAACTGAACTTGAAGAAAAGAAGATAACGCACCACAATTCTGGAATGTTCTAAAATTATTTTAGGAAACGGAAGAACTAGAAGAGGAAATAGAAGATAATGATAGAACCTTGGATTAAAAAAGCTAGAGGAACTATTGAGTAAAAGAAGAAAGATCTTTGAAGAATTCTAGTTGTAGAAGAATTTTGGGTTCGGAGTCGATATTGAAGAAAGATGTTTATCAACCTGCATTCGAGAAGATTATAAAAAAAATCTGTACCAAATGAAGAAAACAGCTGAGTTTCAAGTTTAGATGTAGATCGAAGTTGGATTACATGATTCGAAAATAGAAGAAAAATCTTTGAAAAATTCTAGTTATAGAAGAATTTTGGTTTCGATATGGCGCTGAAATTGAAAAAAGATGTTTATTAACCCAAATTTGAGTAGGTTATAGAAAAATTTTATATCAAATGAAGAAAACAGATGAATTTTAAGTTTAATGTTGACTGAAGTGAAGTATTCGAAGATATTAAACTAGAAGAAGCGGGCTGATATAACCATATATAAGATGCAGATCGAAATTATGAGATTCGAAAATAGGAGAAAAATCTATGAAAATTTCTAGTTACAGAAGAATTTTGGTTCCGATGTGGCACTGAAATTGAAAAAACATGTTTATTAAATAAAGATTCGAAGATATGAAACTAGAAGAAGCGGATTGATAGAACCATAGACTAGAAGAATTAGATATAATTTGTTTCTTATAGAAAAATTCTATATCAAAATAAAACAGATGAGTTTCAAATTTAGATGCAGATGAAGTAGAATATGAAACTAGAAAAATCTGGGTGATTGAATCATGGATTATAAGATATAATATTGAGCAAAAGAAAAAAGGCTTTAGAAGATTCTAGAAAGATTCTATATTAAAACAAAAAGAAGAAGAAAAGACGAAGTTGTTGGGAAAAAAAAAGCAGAAGAAGAAATAGATAAAAGAAAAATGGTGTTTGAAAAAAGAAGAATGCCGATTTTAATGGACGATGAACTTGGGAAGAAAATTAGCAAAGTAATCTAATAAATTTCTAGAAGAATCTAATTTCTTTTGAGACCAGAAGCTCTTAGATTTGAAGAAGTGAACTGGTAGAACCTTGGATTAGAAGATCTAGATGAAGAATTGAGCAAAAGAAGAAAGATCTTTAAAAAAATTTAGTTTTAGAAGAATTTAGATTTCGGTGTGGAACTGACTTTGAAACAAGCTGAATATTTGAGAAGATTAAGAGAAATTCTATACCAAATAAAGAAAACACAGACTATAGGATTCGAAGATATGAATCTAGAAGAAGCTGAGTGATTAATTTATGGATTAGAAGGATTAAATATAATATTGTGCAAAAAAAGCAAAGCTTTAAGATTCTTGAAGGATTCTATATTAAAATAAAAAGAAGAAGAAATAGATAAAACAAGAATGCTGTTTGAAGAAAAGAAGAATGCCGATTTTATTGGGCGACTGGACATGGGAAGAAAATTAACGAAGTAATAAAGTTCTAGAATAATCCAGTTTATTTTGAGACCAGAAGCCCTTAGATTTGAAGAAGCGAATTGATCGAGCCTTGGACTAGAAGACCTAGAGGAAACATTGAGCAAATGAAGAAAGATCTTCCAAGAATTCTAGTTGTAGAATAATTTTGATTCTGGTGTGGAGCTAACGTTGAAAAAACCTGAATTTGAGAAGATTAAGAGAAATTCTCTACCAAATGTAGAAAACGTAGATATAGGATTCGAAGATATGAATCTAGAAGAAGCTGAGTGATTAATTTATGGATTAGAAGGATGAAATATAATTTTGTGCAAAAGACGAAAAGCGTTAAGAGCAATATGTTTTTTATTTCGAGAAGATTCTAGAAGGATTCTATATTAAAATAAAACGAAGAAGAAATAGATAAAACAAGAATGCTGTTTGAAAAAAAGAAGAATGCCGATTTTATTGGGCGGCTGAACATGGGAAGAAAACTAACGAAGTAACAAAGTTCTAGAATAATCCAGTTTCTTTTGAGATCAGAAGGTCTTAGATTTGAAGAAGCGAATTGATCGAGCCTTGGACTAGAAGACCTAGAGGAAGTATTGAGCAAATGAAGAAAGATCTTCCAAGAATTCTAGTTGTAGAATAATTTTGATTCTGGTGTGGGGCTGACGTTGAAAAAAGCTGAATTTGAGAAGATTAAGAGAAATTCTATACCAAATGAAGAAAACATAGAATAGAGGATTCGAAGATATGAATCTTTAGAAGTAATAAATTTTTTATTCCGAGAAAGATTCTAGAGGAATTTTATATTAAAATAAAAAGAAGAAGACAAGACGAATTTGTTGGGAAAAGAAAATTAACAAAGCCTTAGATTTGAAGAAGCGAGCTGAAAAACTGTTGGACTAGTAGATTTAGAGGAAGTATTGAGCAAGAGAACAAAGGTTTTTGAAAAATTCTAGTTGTAGAAGAATTTTGATTCCGGTGTGCAACTGACGTTGAAAAAAGCTGAATTTGAGAAAATTAAGGAAACTTCTCTACCAAATGAAGAAAACATAGAATATAGGATTCGAAAATATGAATCAAAATAACACACGATAATTTCGGAATATTTTAAAATTATGTTGGGAAACGAAAAGAACTAGAAGAAGGAATGAATGCAAGACGAATGCTATTTGAAGAAAAGAAGAATGCCGGCTTTAGTGGGTGACTGAGGATGGAAAGAAAATTATCAAAGTAAGAAAATTCTAGAAAAATTCAGTTTCTTTTGGCGCAAGAAGCAAAGAGAATTCAAGAAACGAGACGATAGAATCTTGGATTGGAAGAGCTAGAGAAAATATTGATTAAAAGAACAAAGATCTTAGAGAAAATCTAGATGTGGAAGTATTTTGGTTTTCCTTGAGCTTGAAGAAACACGTTTATTAACCTGAATTTTAAGTTTAGATGTTGGTGGAAGTTGGATTATAGGATTTGAAGAGGAGAATTAGAACGAGCAGAAGAATCAATGCTTTAGAAAAAATATGTTTCTTATTTCAATAAGATTGTATAAGGATTCTATATTAAAGGGAAGAGAAGGAGAGAAGTCGAAGTTGTTGGAAAACGAAAAGAACCAGGAGAAGAAATATAATACACAAGAAGGATTTTGTTTAAAGGAGGAAAGAATGTTGATTTTAAAAGACGATTGAAGAATGAAAGAAAATTAGCAAATTAAGAAAAATATTCTAGAAAAATTCGATTCCAAATTAAGAAAAAGATAGTGTTTTGGATGGAGTTTTAACTCTGGGTTGTCAACCGACATCGACACCGACACCGACACCAAGCTCGTAGCTGGAAGTCGACATTCTTTTCCGGCGCGTATACATGTTCTATATTACGACAAGAAAGGAGTTAAAAACTCCAATACATGAAATTTAAGAAGATTCTAGAAATATTCTAGAAGAACTTGAATAAAAGACAATAACGGACATTGAGAAGAATTTCGATCGCATTGTAGACAGAATGCTTCAGTGGAAGGAAATCGGTCTAGTGACGCTGAATTCTCTTCCGGCATGGGTGGGATTCATGACTAAGAAATAATGTCTTCTCCTGGATTATAATACGAAAAACTTAACAAAAGAGAAATCCACAAGGACAGAAAATTGGCGGTCATTTCCAGAATCCTCACGTAAAACTCCATCTAATTCGTTTAAAACTTCCCGATCTTCAAATAATTTCTTTTCAAGTACAGACCTATGTAATCTCAGGTTGTGACATTTCGTGCTCTTACTTACGTAGCCGCTCCACCGCCACGCCGCCTCCACCGGCCCAACACCTCTGGCCATTCCATTTTTCCTGCGTGTCGGCGGGTAGGTAAGAGTCCGGGCCGTCCTTCTCCACCCCCGTCGTTATAAAAGAGTTGAAAGAGAGGAATCCGTCAGTGCGCGCATGTCCTCCTGTCCTCGAAATCCACGCCGTGAGAGCGTCTCGACGCTCTTGCACCGCGCTCAGTTGTTTCGGCGGCGCGCTGCTCACCAGACGTGCCACAGACGCCGGCGCGTCCCGACGTCGTCCCGTTCGCATTCTGTTCATTCACCTTTCGTCGCTGGCGCACCTTCAGCGTTGTGCGTACTCAGACCTATGCGGACGAAAGGTAAGAGTATAAATAAGCGCCGAAATCGAAAGTTGTCGCGACCGTGCCGGCGTGCCATTTAACGGTCGACGTCTATAAAAGAAATGCATTATTTATGTAACTTTTACGCGCACTTTATTGCCGTGTTGTTCTGGCCAGTGGAGGCGGCACGGGGGCGCAAAAATTGGAAAATTGTGAGAAGAGTCCCGGTCCTTCGAACTATACTCTTTACCTAGTTATTTTTTTTTAAATGAAAATGAGAAAATTTTTAATGTTTGTATTTTTATTAGGCCATCATTGTTATTATCGGGGGTTCGGTGGCGGAAAGCCGCTCCGGGTCACCACAGCCCCTACGTTCCGGGAGGGTGTTTTACGTGAGACCCGGCCACTTTGATCATGTAAATGGAAAATATCGAGTGGAGGACGTTCTTCAAGTTTTTAGTAAAATTTGATGCCGAGCTGGCGACCGAATTTATTCAAATATTCGGGCCGGAGTTTTTCCGGTGACCGCAACTTGATAATGCCAACATCAATATTTTAATCTAACGCTGAATAATATGTTACAGCTCGAGCCATAAATCAAGTAAATCGCGGATTTATTGGAAAGTCGTCCAAGTATGCGCTTTGTTTCACATTATAGCCAAAAAATCGCGCTTAATTCACCCGATCCGATAATCCTTATCTACCGATTTTATGTAGCGATGATTTACGCACGCACTCTGCGACCTCAGCATCTGTTATTGTAATTCTGAAGAAAGCCCGGATTTTTCAAACACACATGTGTTAACAAATCGAGTCGGATCGACCCTGGTGAAAATTTTCCGCGCGATTTAATTTTACAAAGGTCCGGCGCAACTTTTTCAAGTGTCCAAATACCCATGAAGTGAAGGGGACGCAGAGATGGTCCAGAAAATATTGTTTTTTCTTAGTTTTGAGTTATGGCGGGCAAAATCGGGGCGTGTTTTTGTTTTTTCGTAAAAAGCGAGATTTATGAGAGGGGGTGGGAGAGTCTAATTCGATTCGTTGCAGTCGATGTGGGGGTGGGTTTGTTTATAATTTTGGTTGCGTGTGCCGCTAATTTCGCATTTAATTGCTCTTTGCTTTTGAATGATTTTCGTTTAATGCGGACGACATGGATTGGAGTGTCGTTTTCAGAGCGTTCGATAAATGGAAAATGTGGAATTTCCATGTTGTAGCAGGTGGTCGCAAAAAATGTATGAATTTTTTACGGGGTAGATTAAATAAAGCACTTCAATTCCGACACGGGTGGAATGATTGCAGCTCACATTTGCGACATTGTAACTATACTTTCCTGGATTATATTTTATTGATAAACGAAAAATTGACGTTCCTGTTCAGCGTTTGCCGACAAATTTATGTCAAACAACTCGTTTCGGCCAACCTTTTACTCACACTTTTTAAACCGTGACCACGTAATGACAAGCGATTTTGTACCTAACGAAGTAATTTATCCAGCTGTTGGCCTGTAAAACGCAAACTACACAGGTGTAGTAAGTGGATTAATTGCCTCGTTGTAACAGGAGACAATTAAGCTGATACCCAGCTAAAGTCGGAGAGACGTGTCATATCTAGGTCATTATTATTATATCGTCGCATTATTTTGCTCGTTAAAATTCACACAATATTTTTTCGAATTAATCCGAAAAGTTCGAAACTAAATTTCCGAGAGTTAAAATGTTTTCGACTTTTGTTCGCCGGCATGTATTTTTAATAATTCAAAAATAAAAAAAGCAAGACCCTTGGGTCCTTAAAAATCAATAGACGTACATTAAATGCTTTATTTTTGAGCAGATGCTGAATTTTTAATAAAGCGAATCTCCGCCTTAAAAAAAACTCAATTTTCTACTTTATTGAAAGTTCATCTTGTTTACCCAAAACTCTATACTGGTGTACTGCAGGGATGTACAGTACTTCCAGTTCGATTGTCATTTTTCCGCAGCGACCCTTATTCTATCCACGCAAACAACGCACAAGATCCCCGCTTAATTAACCCACTTCACAAAAAATGTTCTACCTTTGGCTAAAAATTTTGGCTGCTTTTGACAAATTCCGCTCCGCCGTCTGAATAATAAATTTCGTAATCTGTGTTCACGTGTTTGGCCGTGCGAGCACTGGATTTAGAAAATTTTGCCGTTGTTTGTGGTTTTTCGCAAACAATGCTGCCTTGGAACAAAGAGTGATTTTTTAACGAAGCCCCGAACGTTACTCATTCAAACGTCAAGGTGAAAGAAAATTCGCGCTACTCCATTGCCCTACTTTCTTCGTAAATGCCGTTTAAAAAGCGCCACAATGGACTGAAATAACAAATATTTGTTGTTGGGTATGCAACCAGGATTACTAGGGGCTGTCTGCGGCAAAGGGGTGGATCCCGTGGGATTTTGTCGCAAGAAAAACTTATTTTTGAAGCCTGGGTTTTAAAAAATTTAAATAATATGCTAATTGCAATTTGTAAATCTTTTTTAATGTAAGGCGGAGTTGCTCATTAAGGGGCTGCTGAATGAGTAATTTCTGGGGGGATGGATTTTAATAATTTGTTTCAGTTAAGAAATATTCTAAATTCTATACTTCATCTATTTCTTTTCTATTCTGTGCATCTAATTCTCATCTGTCAATTTCGAATTCTTAAGTTGTAAATTAGAGCATTTTTAGATAATTGGCTAAATTTTCACGTCAACAAAATCGAAATTTGGAATTATATTCATATTTAAATTTCGCAATAATGCATAGAAAAATTTTGGGTTTAAATTTCCAGATGATAAGTTAATATTCCAAGTTAATTAGGTACCGATTTGCAGTTAGGTTAAAATTATAACAGAAAAGGAAAAATTTCGAATTCGTAAGTTTGAAATTTGGTAATAATCAGCAGAATTCTCAGCTTAATAAAGTCAAAATTTTGGGTCAATGGGATCAAGATTTCTGGAGAGATTATGAACCGAAATTTAGACAAAACAAATCAAAATAATTTTATAAAATTTATGTATAACCAGCACAGATCTGACTAATTAAATCGAAAATAATAAGATACAATTTTAGTTAAGTAAGTTCTACAGAAATAAAAAGCAAAAATTCTCAAATCTGATTAACAATCAGCAGAGTTTTTTATCTTCAAACTCAAAAAATCGAGTTAATCAATCAAAATTTCTAGATAAATAGCTGATCCGAAATTTAGAGATAAAAATCTTCATTTTTTTAATAGTTCGACATTCACAAGTTAATTTCGGACTCATTTCTTCGATAGCTCCTACCATTTTCCAGAACTGCCCCCTAAAATGTTGACATTTTTTAAATAAAAAAAAATATGTTTTCAAACCGAATATTTTTAAATCTTTCAACAGGAGCATAAACACGCTATATTTTCGGAATCAGCACGACGAAAACTATCCCTCAGAATTTTTTGACCATTCTTTTTAAATACAATTTTTCAAACTTTTCCAATAAAAAATTTCAGCTGATTCTCGAGAATTTTTAAAATTTCACTAAAGATATTTTCTTATAGATTTCGACCTCCAGAAGTTAGTTTCAGACTCATTTCATCGACTCTTACCACTTACCCAGAAAGGTCCCCTGAAATATTGAAAATTTTTGGTACTACAAAAAATTTATTTTCAAACCGATTATTATTAAATTTTGCACCTGGAGCACAAACATGCTATGTTTTCGGAATTAGCTCGACGAAATCTATATCTCAGAATTTTTTGTGAATTTTAAGCCATTTTTTCAAAATCAACATTTTTCACATTTTTGCCACTAGAAAATTTCAATAAATCTTCGAGACTTTACAAATTTTACTGAAGATATTTTCTTATAGATTTCGACCTCTAGAAGTTTTTTCAGAAACGTCCTCCGAAATTTTGAAAATTTTTGAATAAAAAAAAAATATTTTAAATCTTGCATTAGGAGCATAAACACGCTATGTTTTTGGAGTCAGCAGGTCAAAATCTGTATTTCAGATTTTTTTTGGGAACTTTTTGGCCATTCTTTCAAGCTCAAAATTGTTCAAACTTTTTTCCATAGAAACCACCTTCAGCAAATTTTCGAGAATTTTCAAAATTTTTCGAAAAACAGTTTATTATAGATTTCGACCTCCAGGAGTTAGTTTCAGACTAATTTCTTCGATATCTTCTACTATTTCTCCAGAAACGTCCTCTGAAATGTTATACATTTTTGTAACTAGAAAAATATGTATTTTCAAATAGGATATTTTTTATTCTTGTAACGGGAGCATAAACACGCTATGTTTTTGAAATCAGCACGACGAAATCTATATCCCAGAATTTTTCTGGAATTTTTTGGCCATGTTTTCAAAATCAAAATTTTTCACATTTTTTCCATTAGAAAATTTCGGCAAATTTTCTAGAATTTTCAAAATTTAACCAAACATTTTCTTATAGACTTCGACCTCTAAAAGTTAATTTCAGATTCACTTCTTCGATATCTCCTAGCATTTTTCCAGAAACGTCCCCTGAAATAATGAAAATTTTTGGAACTACAAAAAATAGAATCCCAAACCGATTATTATTTTTAAAACTTGCACAAGGAACATAAACACGCTACATTTTTGGGATCAGCACGACGAAATCTATATGGCAAAAATTTTTTGGGGATTTTAAGCCATTTTTTCAAAATCAACATTTTTCACATTTTTGTCACTAGAAAATTTCAATAAATTTTCGAGAATTTATAAATTTTACTGAAGACATTTTCTTATAGATTTCGACTTCTAGAAGTTAGTTTCAATTTCATTTGTTCGATAGCTCTTACCATTTTTTCAGAAACGTCCTATGAAATTTTGAAAATTTTTGAATACAAAAAAATTATTTTAAATCTTGCATCAGGAGCATAAATATGCTATGTTTTTGTAGTCAGAAGGTCCAAATCTATATTTCAGATTTTTTTGGGAACTTTTTGGCCATTCTTTCAAACTCAAAATTTTTCAAACTTTTTTCCACAAAAACTTTCAGCAAATTTTCGAGGATTTTCAGAATTTAACTAGATATTTC